CAAACCCCTCTAGCGATTCCCCCCTCCAAACCCTCCCCACAACCCTCCCCAGCACAAAAACCCCCCACCCAAACCCCCAGACCCCCAGACCCAGACACCCGGTCCCCACCAACACCGGGCCCATGACCAACATCGCGAAGCCAGCGAACACCGCCCCCGCCACGAAAGCCGACACCAGCACGCCGCCCAGGAACAGACACACGGGGATTCCGGAGCAGAGGACGTGCGCGGCCAGGAAGGTGGCGAGGATTGGGTGAGCGAGGATCAGTTGCGTTAGGCGGGAGAGGGATCCTTCTTCGGGAGGAGCTGTAGCTGTAGGAGCTGTAGCTGTAGGAGCTGTAGGAGCTGTAGTCGTACCCGTGGCTGTAGATGTAGATCTAGTGGTGGTGGTGTCGTTGGTGGATGTAAGTGGGGAGTGATGCTTGTTGCAGGCATGATCATTGGCATTATCATTGTGATTGTGGTTGTGATTGTGGTTGTGACTGTTAGTGAGCTGGTGCTGGTGGTGTTTGAGGAGGAGGGCGTCGTGGTGGAAGATCGTGGCGCTCTGAGCTGGTTGCTGCTGCTGCTGCTGCTGCTGCTGCTGCTGCTTCTGGTCTTGCTCTTCGGTGGGATGATCCTGCGCTGAGGTCTGTGGTTCCGACGCGAATTGCGAGGGGATCATGGGGTCGATTTCTGGCATTTTGGATATTGTTTAACGTTTTTTCTTCCACGAGGAAGGATGTTCTTGTTGGAGATGGGTCTGAGGATGAATATCAGAACCTGGATCAGAGTTCTTGGAATCAGACGACAGAACAGCTCAGCTAATGTAGTACAGTGAACTTAAGGGAGCACCAGTTCTTCCAACCAAGTAAACCCCGACTAAAGGCAGTAAACTCCCGCATCGATTAGCCCTGCGGACCGGACCTTGCCCTTGCACTAACCTAACACCCGGGAACTACTGCCCGCACCCACGAATCCACGAATCACAAGCCCACAGAAAAAGAGTGATCGACTGTATTCGTTTTTCCGTCACATACCGTACACGGTACATTCCGTACAGTCACATGACTAGTCACGGGGAGTATGGCGAAGAAAAAAACCCACCTACTCATCTGTTAAGGTTCGGGTGATCAGGGATCCTCCCCTTGCAACAAGATTCGAGAAGCACACTCGCGCATCTGTCGCCGATAAGATCCGGTTTCCCAAGACAGTGGGTTGGATTCTTCCCCAATTGATGGCTATCGAGTACGGGATCGGTGATCACCTGCCAGACAACCCAAGGTTGCTCGGAATGTCGTCGGAATGGACGGCGAAAAAAAAAAAAAAAAAAAAGCTGGTGAAGAGAGACAGACCACCGGTAGTGCCGCGGAAATTGCCGCTGTTGCGACAATGGGCTAACGATGGACCCATTCACCAAATCTTGGGGCCTTAAGTGGGCTGGGGGATAGACACCTGGCTCCACTCTTTCACTCCAACTTCCTCACCGGGGAAAGCTTCTATGGGTCCCTACGTGGACAGTATTGGAAAAGAATGCTCATCATTGCTGGTATGGATTTGAATGTACAGTGAGAATGGGTAGGAGGAAAAAGATATCTAATGCTGAAAGCTGACCAGCTGTCCCAACTTTTTATCTCTCAAAACGCCCGCGCGATGGTAGAAGAAAAAGGAAAACAGGACATGTACAGTACATGCGACACCGCTTACCAACCGCGCTTGGCCAGCTTGTCGGCCTCAGGCAGGTGCGCAACGTTGATACCGACCATGGCCTCGCCCAAACCCTCGCTCACTTCAGCCAGGACCTTGGGGTCCTTGAAGTGAGTCACGGCCTGGACGATGGCCTTGGCGCGCTTCTTGGCATCACCAGACTTGAAGATACCAGATCCGACGAAGACGCCGTCGCAACCCAGCTGCATCATGAGCGCCGCGTCGGCGGGAGTGGCAACACCGCCAGCGGCGAAGTTGACCACGGGGAGACGGCCCTTCTCAGCGGTCTCGCGCAGAAGCTCGTACGGGACCTCCAGCTGGCGGGCGTAGGCACGGAGCTCGGGCTCGGGGTCGGCAGAGGACTGCAGGATGGCGCGAGCACGAGCAATGTCGGCATTGACAGTGCGCATGTGCTTGACAGCCTCCACAACATCCCCGGTACCAGCCTCGCCCTTTGTACGGATCATAGCGGCGCCCTCGGCGATGCGGCGGAGAGCCTCGCCCAGGTTACGGCAACCGCAGACGAAGGGGACCTTGAAGCCGTGCTTGGTAACGTGGTAGACATCGTCGGCGGGGGTGAGGACCTCGGATTCGTCAATGTAGTCGACGCCAATGGCTTCGAGGATCTAACAGCATGACATGTTAGCATCAACGTCCAAGAGACATTGACAAATGTTCTCACCTGGCACTCGACGAAGTGGCCAATGCGGGCCTTGGCCATCACAGGAATGGTGACAGCCTCCATGATCTCCTTGATCATGCCCGGGTCGGACATACGGGCCACACCACCCTGGGCTCTTATGTCGGCGGGAACACGCTCGAGGGCCATGACGGCGGCGGCGCCAGCCTCTTCAGCAATGCGAGCCTGTGCAACCCTCGTTAGCATTGAGAGGATGAACTGAATTCCTGGGAGTGAAGCATACCTGCTCCGCATTGACAACGTCCATGATCACGCCACCCTTCAACATCTGAGCCAAACCGGCCTTGACAGTGAAGCTGTCGGTAGCACCGTTCTGTTGAGCAGCCATTGTGATAGGAATTGAGGGGGAGATTGGCAGAATTGCTGCGAGAAGGAAGAGAAGATTGGAGATGGACAGAAGAAAGGAAAAGAAAAAGAGAAGAGAATGCCACCGAGGGACCAAGGTTAAATATGAACGGAAGGAAGAGAGTTAGTTACCTGGAGAGACTGGCCAGACTTGCGAGTGAGTCAACGAGGATGAACTGATTATCTCAGCCGTCGCCGCCGAGAACACCCACTCCCCTCCCGGACGAAGGTTCAGTACCTCATCCGTGGGAACTCTTGGGAAAACAGTGTCTCCTACACCAATGACTGAGAGTGTCCCGAGTTTACCCCTCGTTGTTCTTCCCCGCCGGCGACTGGAGTTCAATCATGGATGTTCAGCCCACTTTCCGCTTTCCACGGTCTTTCTGCCCCTCGTCAGTGGCAGGGCGGAAGTACGGACCAATGATTGCCTCGCCGTCCCTCTGAGCCTTCCCTTGACATTTTTCAACTTGCCACTAAACTCGGAATGGCGCATCGCCCCTCTGTTTAGCTTTCCGCGGGCTTTGGTAGCCGCGTTTCGGTATCGTCACATGCCGCTTATGTAAAGTACCCGCTACTGTTCGGTCTGTTCAGCAACGGTAATACAGATACAGATGCTGCCTCAGGCGGCAAGCTGAGGTCTGGAATACCGGTGGCTGAACTATGAATACACCGAGTAGATGAAGACACTAACTTAATGCATTGAACCAATTCAATTACTGTACACTGTCAGATCAAGCGATTGAGGCCATATACAAGCGCCCATCCGTAATATCCTCCCTCCCCTCTAATCATCCTCTCCAGTACAGTACACAACCACCCCCGAACCGACCCCGACCCCAGTGACGTCAGCCCGCTCCCTCCTTCCCTCCCTCTCCCTCCCTCCTCCGCATCTCCAACTCCAACACCACCAGCACCTCCCCCTTCTACAACCATCTCTCCTCAACCTCACCCAGCAACTCCAACTCCAATTCCTCTCAGTCCCTCCCAAACCAACCAGCAAATCAATCCCCAAGACCTCAACCCTCAATCCTGTGGCACAACACCGCCCCCCAAACCCACCAACCACCCCCAAACACCCACACCCACCGACCTCGACAACCCAACAAAAATGACATTCCTCCTCTCGCGCACAACCACCACCCTCCTGGGCACCACCCTCGGCCTCGGTCTCACCGTCCTGCACCCGCTCTCGCCCTTCCGCGCCGCGCCCCTCCAATGCCAATACTCCGCCCCCGCCGGCCCCCCCGAACCCAACTGGACCGTCCCGTCGTCCGACCCCGCGATCCGCAAACAAGGCCGCACGGGCCCGATCCTCACGGCCTCGAACATGCGGCAGGTGAGCCTGGGCAGCGTGCTGGGCTTGGTGGTGGGCGTGGGGCTGCGGGCGTTCTCGCGCGTGCTGGTCGTGTTGATCGGGATGGGGATTGTGGCGGTTGAGGTAGGTTACCGGTTCCCCCACACCTGTCAGGGGAGGTCCTGGTAGGGTAGCAGGCTGAGAAGAGTTGTCTGACTGACTAATTTGATGTGATGTGGTGTAGTGGGCCGCGGCCAAGGGGTATAATATCCTGCCCGTCAATACCCTCCAGAGATACGTGAAGCGGGTGGATTTGCAGGGCGCCGTGTCGAAGCATATCCCCTTTAAGTTGAGCTTTGGGGTCACGATGGGGTTGGCTGCTTTTGCGCAGTTTTAGGTTGGGTTATTGTCTAGTGGTGGGGGTGTATTTGGGCGTGAGAGGAACGGTTTGTGTAGAATAGATGAACCAGGAAGATTTCATCCAATCCGATACTATCACGATTATATAGATTCAAGGTTCTCCTTTGATCTGTCTTATACAGGGTATCATTATTGCGAGCCGAGCGCCGAGGAATACATTCGCATGTACTTCATCTTCTGCAGCAGCTGCAGCAGCTGCAGCAGCTGCGGCAAACCAGGGCTGGCTCAAGCCAAAACCAAATCCTCCAAAACGCCCTCCATCTCCTCCCGGGCCAACGGCACGCCCAGGATCTCCATCCCGCTCGCATCCATCCGCGACGTGATCATCTGGTGGTCGTGGAACTCCTTCAGCAACGTCCGGAACATCATCTCGGAACTCGCGATGAACTCCTCGGCCGCCTTCTGGTAGAGGGCGCGGAACTCGATCCCGGCGGCGTCCTCCCCTCGGGCACCACCACCACCACCACCGTCCTCCCCCTCATCGTCCGACAGATGGCCCTCGTCCGACGCGGAGAGCAGCTCCGTCAGCAGCAGCTGGTACAGGTTGCGCGCGTTCTCGGGCAGACTCTTCAGGACGAATTCCACGCCCTCCTTGCCGCCGACGCGCTGGCCCTTGCGGCCGAGCAGGGCGCTGACTTCCTCGACGACATCGAATTCCGCGTCGAAGGGGGCGAAGGTCGTGCAGTCGTGGAACACGAAGTTGAACTGGTCGCGGAGGTTCAGGTCCCACATGAGGAGCACGTTGGGCGTGTCCGCCGTCGCGAGGAGGTTGATCTGCGGGGTGGCGGCCAGGCGGGCGAGGAGGGCTTGGTTCGTGGCGCGGCGGAGGGAGGGGGCGTCGATGGAGTTGATGAGCACCGTGATCGGCGGACTATCTGAGTCGCGGGCGTTCAGGCTGGACTGCAGCAGTTCCAGGACCTCTTGCGGCTGCGAGCCCATCTTCGACGGGATGTCTGCGCCCAGCACCGCTGTGACAATCGTCGCGAAGATGGACCGGATCGAGACGCCTGGCGTGTGACCGTTGACAATAACGACGGAGGGCGGTGAGGCCGCAGTGGAGGTGGTGTCGTCGTCTTCATTGTCGTGGGAGTGGCGGCGGTATTGCCAGTCGGCAAATTCCTGTAGCAATCGACGCTTGGATCCGTAGCCGTACAGGCAGATGTTGAACCCCTGGTCGAACTCGAAGTCCCATTGGGGGAAGGACCGGCAATGCAGGTCCAGCAACAGGGCCTTTTCCTCCTGGAACGGATCCACCCACTGCGCCATCTTCTCGAAATACTCCTCGTGCGTCAGGAGGTTCACCTTGCTGAGATTGCTATTCGACGTCCGAGGCGGTCCCGCCCGGTTCTGGAAGAAGTAGCGCTCGTGCGCCGGGAGCTCGCCCTCGGGCGTGGGGGAGCGTTTGTTCTTTGCGCCCTTTGGTCGTCCGGCCCGACGTTTGGGGGTGGGTGCTGCTGCATCTCCGGCTGCTGGCTCTTCGGATCCTGCCTCGACGGAGGGTACTACTCCATCTTCATTGGTTGCTGAGTTTGCTGGCGTTGGTTCCTGAAGGGCCGTGTCGTCATCGTCCTGCAGGATTTCCTCCGCGAGGCGATCGGCGCCATCCCAAATTTCATCTTCGTCTTGTTCCAGCAGCAGGCGAGCGCTCTTCTTCTTTGCGGACCGGTCGGCATTTCGAGCCTTGGTCGGGGTGTCGGGCGCAGCGGTCTGTTTAGTAGGCGTCGAGAATAGAGCCTTCGCCTTGTTCTTGTGTGTGGGAGTCTTCAATCCCGAGGCTTTCAGGGCAGCTGGAGTGTCCGCGGTCGGCTTCTTGGGAGTCGACTTTATTTTCTTCGCTGGGGTGCCTTCAGGGGTTTTTTCCCTGGCCACATGCCCGTTCACGGCGCCATTGGTCGGTGCATCGGTAGTCCTCGGCCGCTTGGGCGTCGAGACAGGACGCGCTTCGTCCGTATCTGGTTGCTTGCGTTTCATTTTAGTTAACTTGGTTGAGAATGGTGAGCGGAATCGGGTCGGTGAAGAAATACCATCCAGACAACAAGCCGGAACAACCCCCAGGTTTGATTAGGAACGTAAAAGGAAGAAAGAAAGGAAAACAATATGACGCAAGGGGGTTCCAGCAAGTAAGCTCCAAGCAGCACAGCTTTCTCTGCCTTCACAAGGAAATGAGGAATGCTTTCCCGTACGGTTAAACCCTCGTGGCTTTCGCCCTTCTTGGGCGCGTCTTCGAAGCACCACCGATAGGACCGAGGGTTTTTCCGACTCCGCGATATCGGAAGCGGCATCTCATCGCCGCGCATCGCATCACTGCGGGACCGGCCCTGGCAGTTTCACTCGCCGATATAATTCACGCAGCGAAGAGAGAGCTTCGTCCGTCGTCCCAATTGACAACTCTCGTCGTGGTTGTCTGGCAGTGGTCTCGCGCGTCCACCTCGCCTACGCAGGAGCTAACTGGAAGCTTCCTGATAAGCCAGTGAGTCATTTTGTTTACCATTCGCCCTGAGTCATTTTCGGGGCTGTCTGCTGCAAGTGCCTCCGTGTATATCTACCCAATCTCCCAGACCACGTACCCGGGGGGTCATGAGGACGAAAGTGCCCACGACTATATCAATCGCGTGTCTTCTACACCTATACACCTCGTGCTGGAACCCTAACTAAATCCTCACTTTCTCCAGCCCAGGAAGCCGCCCCCAATGGCTATTCCCGCGCATTCGGCGGCCACCACCATGGCTACCTTCACCCGCATGGTGAAGGGCCAGGTGCGCCATTACTCCGCACCCCTCGACATGGCCATCCCTGCCTCCAAGCAGAAGTACATCCCTTCGTCCGGGTCGTACCCCAAGGGCTTCTCCGTCTCGGGGACCCACGTCGGCGTCAAGGCCTCCAACACCAAGTTCCCCGACCTGGCCCTCATCTCCTCCGAGACCCCCTGTACCGCGGCCGCGGTCTTCACCACCAACAAGTTCCAGGCCGCCCCCGTGCAGGTCAGCCGCAACATCCTGCAGACCCGGCAAGGCCAGGGCATCCGGTCGGTGGTGATCAACTCCGGGTGCGCCAACGCGGTGACCGGCAAGGGCGGACTGGAGGATGCGACCAACATGGGAGCCAAGGTGGATGAATGCCACGGCCTCAGCGGGGAGGAACCCAGCACACTGGTGATGAGCACCGGAGTGATCGGACAGCGGTGCGTACTCCCCTGCCCCAAAACACCACAACACCATTCCGCTCCACCCCAAAACCCAAACCCAACTAACCCTCTTCCTCAACCAAACCAGCCTCCCGATCTCCAAGATCCTCTCCAAGATCCCCACCGCGCACTCGACCCTCTCCTCGACGCACGACAGCTGGCTCAGCACGGCCCGCGCGATCTGCACGACCGACACCTTCCCGAAGCTGCTGTCCACAACCTTCACGCTGCCCAGCTCGCCCGGCCGCCGCTACAGCCTGGCGGGCATGACCAAGGGGGCGGGGATGATCCACCCGAACATGGCCACCCTCCTCGGAGTCCTGTGCACGGACGCGCCCATCACCGCGGACGCACTCTCGGCGCTCCTGAAACACGCCGTGTCGCGGTCCTTCAACGCCATCTCGGTCGACGGCGACACGAGCACGAACGACACGATCGCGATCCTCGCCAACGGCGCCGGCGGCGGCGCGCCCGTGACCAACAGCCAGAACTCGGACGACTACACCGCGATGCAGACGGTCCTCACCAACTTCACGCAGGCGCTGTCGCAGCTGGTGGTGCGGGACGGCGAGGGCGCCACCAAGTTCGTGACGGTGCGCGTGCAGAACTCGCCGGACTACGACTCGGCCAAGCTGATCGCCAGCACGATCGCGCGCTCGCCGCTCGTCAAGACCGCCCTGTACGGCCGCGACGCCAACTGGGGCCGCATCCTCTGCGCCGTGGGCTACACCCAGGGCGTCCGGGACGGCGTCGTCGTCCCCGAGCGCACCAGCGTCAGCTTCCGCCCCGTCGACGGCAGCCCCGAGCTGAAGCTGCTCGTCAACGGCGAGCCCGAGCAGGTCGACGAGGCCCGCGCCGCCGTCATCCTTCAGGAGGAGGACCTCGAGATCGTCGTCGACCTCGGCGGCGGCGAGCTCGGTCCCCACGGCGCCGGCCGCGAGGAGGCTGTCTACTGGTTCTGCGATTTCAGTCACGAGTATGTCACCATCAACGGTGATTATCGGACTTAAGCATTGCAACGTCTGATATGGTTGAAACGAGGCGATGTGGATTCGCCAGGTGTTTGTCTCAAAAAAGCGCAGTTAGAATGCTTGGATTGATTATCCTTTGAATGCGAGCCTTAATATGAGTCACGGTCATCTGTTCGCTTTTTCTATACTACAACATCTTAGCCGGGTAGTGCAACATGGCCCATGAACTCAAGCTGGGTGCTGCGTTGTAAAGCGAGCTTCTCATGCTACAAGCAAAACAAACTAAATCAATCGGTTCCCACCCGAGTCACCCCAGATGCTCAATGCCCTTCCAATGCAATTTTCAGGTCTTTGATCGAATATGGTTACAGACCAGGTAGTGCTATATACAGCTGCGACTTTTCAACTTTTCCCGTAGGGAGCAAGACAAAAAGATAGGTGACTAGCCATACATTCATCAAGAATTCAAACCATCCAGATTGCAAAGCCACAGCCGCACACTACCTGGTGAAAATAAAAAGAAGATATAAAAACATAAAAACCCACAATCCCTCTTCTCATACTTCATCAGAAAGTGTCCCTAAGCCTCCCTGCTTAGTTACCGGGGACGAGGCCACGGAGGCCGGCGCCAATGTCGCCCTCACGGGCAGCAATCTCAAAGTATCCGTAGATGATGCTAAAGTTGGGTTAGCGATGTTTCGAGAATTATCAAACATGTGGTAAACTTACGTGACAGCAAGAAGGATACCGGTACCGCTGCCAAGAGCACCGAGAAGGTCGGAGGCAACGGAGAGAGCACCGATACAGGCACCACCGAAAGCAGCAGCGGTAGGGATGACACGCTTGAGCTCCTTGTACATGCTCTGCTCACGGTGACCGGCCATCACGAGACCCTGGTCCTTGAGCTGCTTGGCAACGTCACGAGGAGCAGAGCCAGAAACCTCGATCCAGGTCTTGGAGAAGAGGGCACAGGCAACGAGCATGAAGGTGATGTAGACGGCAGTGTGGATGGGGTCCAGGAGAGCGTCCTTGAAGTTCAAGGGAGGGGACATGTAGTAAGCGATACCGGAGGAGGCGTGGAGCTGAGCAGTTCCGTCACGGGGCTCCCAGACACCGAGGAGTCTCACGAGGAGGTTGTCGGAGAAGCGGGAGTAGAGCATCTGGCTGATCAGGAAGATGTTGGAGCACAGAGCGGACTGCAGCATGATGGGCATGTTGGAGGTGTAGAAGAGACGGACGGGGTAGGATCCACGCATTCCACGCTGGCGGGAGGACTTGACGGGGATCTCGACACGGAAGCCCTGGAGGTAGATGACGGCGGCGAAGACCAGGAGAGTGGCCAGCAGGTTCATGATGTTGGGGAGGTTCTGGCGGTAGAAAGCCTCGCGCAGAGCACGCTGCTTGTCGGACCAGGTCAACAAGAGGTGGAAGAGAGCAATGATAGCACCCTCGAACTCGGGGCCACGGCCAGTGTTGATGGTCGTGGGGGAGAACGCCTTCCAAACGATGGACTCGCAGATGTTGGTCGCGATGAACAGAGAGATACCGCTTCCGAGACCGTATCCCTTCTGCAGAAGCTCATCCAAAAGAATGACAACCAGACCAGCAACGACAAGCTGAACGATCAGGAGAACGCAGATACCAGCACCAAGGTCGCTGGGCTGACCGTAGAGACCAGTGAGCACGTACACGCAGGCCTGACCGAAGGACAGAATGATAGCGAAGAGCTTCTGAGCAGTCTGGTAGAGCTCGCGGTCGGTCTTGAGGTCAAGGTTGACATCGATGAGGTGGGTACCAGCGAGAAGCTGTGAGTCCACGGTGTAAGTATGCGATTGTCAATCAATAACGCGGCCGTAGTGAGCTTACCTGGAAGACCATGCCGGAGGAGATGATGGGGGTGATACCCAACTCCATCAGAGTACCACGGTTACTGGCCAACATCATACGAAGCCAGTAGAGAGGGTCGGAAGTGTCAGAGGAGACAATACCATACAGCGGCATCTGACTCATGACAAGGAAGATGAGCAGGGTGAGCTGTGGGCAATCTATTAGCTCGGACCATCTCGTTGATATTTTAGAATGTGTCACATACACCAGTCCACATCAACTTCTGGTTGAAGGGCACCTTGGTCTCGGGGGCTGCCACCTCCGGGAGGAGGGGCGTGAAGGGCTTGATAAGATCGAGAAACCGAACTAGTATTCAACGTTAGCAATTGTTGATCCATTGAGAAGGTTGGTGGATCGCTGTCGCGAAGACGAATGCGATCGCGTGCAGAACTCACGTCCACTCATTGTGACTGTCTTTCTCCCAAGATTACTGGGCTAAGACGGTACAAGAGAAAAAGGAAAAAGAAAGAGAAGCTGGAGGCGAGATCCAGCTGAAGGAATGGAGGGGAAGAAATACAAAAGAAGAAGGGAAGATGAGAAGAAAGGATGGGGGGGGGGGGAGAAGGGAAAGGAGAGAGGGAGAGGGAGAGGAAGCAATGATGAGGTTCGGGGAGCGGAGGAGTTGAGAGGGAAGCGGGAGTCGCCTCGCTGGCCACTTTCACTCTCCAGCCACGCTAACCCCGTTGAGGCCACTTGGTCGCTTCCAGGTCCATCACCGACCACGGCCGTTTGACCCCATCAAGGGTCCTCCCAGTCTCCTCAGCTGGCACTGCACTCACTACACCTACAAATAGTCAATGCATCTCCTCCAAATTACTAAGGACACTATTCATCTACTACAAATATCAGCTGATTGCTCTCTGCTTGCTGGGCTTGTATCCAATGGACTGTCATTCATTTGACATATATGAAATTCGTTATCTATCTTTCAGCACGGGGTATTGTGTAGACCATCCAAGTGCAGTTGCGAGGTATAATAGTACATATAGTAGCCTCAATCCTCCCAAATATCAAGTAACGAGCCAGCAGCTTCGTTCGCTTTGTACACTCACACAACTTGTACTTAATGCAGCTTCCTTGTTCTGTTCCTGATGAGACTCGGGACTCAGATGAGTCCTCTTCAAAAGAGTCATAACCGAGCTTATGGTCAGGGACCAACCAAACATAAACAATCATCGATCACATTCTCCAGTTCTCCCAGCCTTTCCTTGAGGCCTCTGTTCTCCTCCTTGAGAATACCCAGGACACTCCAAGCTTCAGAGGAAGGGACGCCATGGCAAATGTTGCACTTGGAGGAGTTGTTCCAGGAGCTTGTGATTCCCTTAGGCGTGAGACCCTTGATGACCCGGTCGTACGTCGATTGGCGCGCTGGTGGGGTCGGAGCAGGCTTCAGCTCTTTCTTCGGACTGGATTTCACAGGTACTGATGTGGGAGTCGACAAGGTGACTTGAGAGATGTTCGGGGATGGCGCAACGGTTGAGGCAGGTGATTCGAGCACCTCGCGCCGGGAGAAGACACTCTCCGCGAGACTCTCGTCTCCAGAGTCAAACCCGGAGTCGCTTGTGAAGGTACCATTGCTGGCCCGTTTCATGCTACGCTTGGGTGTCTGAAGCTCCGCGGCAAGGTCCGATGTGCCGTCATCGTCATCACTTGATCTGATGAGCATAACACTGCGGCGACGCGCATCTTCCTCCTTGCGACGCAACTGCCTTTCCTGCTCTAGTTCTTCGGCCATGGCCTTCATGGCTTTCTCCTGCTGGATGACCTTTTCGGCCATGCCGTCCAGTTGTATTTTCAGGTTACCTATGCGTGTTCGTGTTATCTCGAGTTCCTCTTGCTTTTCGCTCTTGTCGGCCAAAACTTCGTGCAAGGCAAAGGTCCGTTGCTTATAAGCTGCTTGTAGTCGTCTGAGAATGGTATCCGCATTGCTCCGTAATGCGTCGAAAGCGTCCCGACCTTCTAGATTACTGAACCCAGGAGGGAATAGAGCAGCATTGATGTCGAGGTTCAGAAACTCGTCGTGCGCAGGCTCAGGAAGCTCAAGCCTGGCTTCCCCTTGGCGTTTTAACCCGAAGAATGAGAACGGACTCGACGAAGTGACCTGCTTCAAGGGCGAAGGTGCCGTCATCCGCTTCTGTGCCCGGCTAGTGAGGCCAGTCGGAGCTGTGGGCATCACGTACGGCTCACGAGCACCTCGTCGCTCCATGGCGTCCTCCTCGTCGTCCGGTTCGTCGGCCTGATATCCTACTCCCAGATTCACGGGCTGCGATTTGCCTTGGAACCAGCCAGATAGACGTTTCGCACCTTCCTCAAGCCTGCGGCGTGCGGTGTTCTCGGTCGGGGGACTGGGACGATGGTTCGCGCTGTCGAGGTCTTCGAACGTTTTGGACTGGTCGGAGAAAAGCTTTCGAGAGGGAAGAGGGGCGTGCCGCTGTATAATTTCGGTGTTTGACCGGCGGTGGAGGGACGCGTGCGAAGGATATTGTTTCGCCGGTAGTGGGGATACGGTATCCGAGCTCTGTGCTAATAAGGTTGCAGGGATGCTCAGGTGGGACGGTCGAACAGCAGCATCGTTAGGCGGGCAGCTTCCCTCCTCAGTTCCGATCGGGGCCATTGCGGGCGACGAGGGTTTCAGGCTGTCAACAGCAGGCGTGGCTGTAGATGACGGGTGTTCGACGTCTTGTAGCATGACTGATAAGCCGGAACCTGACTGGGTGGTGGGAAGGGATGGGGACCTGGAATGATGAAGGGATGTAGTCTGTCGCACCACTTGGACACGGACTGGAATGCCACGTCGATATGTTGTCCGCTCCAATGCACGGTCACGTATGCCGCACTTGATAGTCAGCTAAGAAGCAAAAGGGGCACTGAAACGAGTAGCTCCCGAAGCTCTCTCTGTTTTTTTTTTTCGTTGCAGCCTCCTTTCAGCTTGATGCGGGTGACGGCAAACGCAGTATGACCAATTGACAGCGGGTAGCAGCAGCAATAAAGCAAGCCTCGATGAGGTTCCGTATGGCGAAGGCAGGGACTCTTGGGGAAGGGGGCGATCTAGGGAGATGTTTATTCAGGATGATGGAATCGGCCGCCGAGCGATAGCGATAGTGGGCGAGCCCGCACGTGCCCCTGTCAGCGACCAGTGTTAAGGATTCTGCACGTTATACAATAGTCGATGGATCAATATCATTAAACTTGTGGACCAGAATGTGTTAGGCTGTAAGCCGAGTATTCGAAGTGCTCAATATCATATGAGACCCCGGAAACGGCTGTTTACATCCAGACGGCGCAAAATCTCGCGAGGTTGGGTGTATATTCTTAGCAACTCTCAACCTGGCCAGCCAACCACAAAAATTACGGTGGCTGGACTGGGAACTGCTTATGAGTATTTCCCCACTATCACAATGAGGCAATGGCAATTAGCTAGCGAGTCACAAAAGCAAAATGAGTCGATCCAGCAGTGACAGGCTGTGTTGGGCCGTTGTTGTTGTTGTCAGGACAGTTCCATTGGCCCGTGGAAGAAGAGTATTGATCGGGCAAGATACATATCCACAGTCCGCAGAGTCCATATTACACTGCTCGACTCTAACGACGTCATCTGCGGTCGTGACCAAAATACGATGGTTTCTGTGACGACTGAGTGATCATTGACGCCACCATCAACGCAGCGACGAAAGCACTCACACCCCCTATTTTTTTTCTCTTGACCTCCGAGGCCTGACGTGAAAGGTCTGGATTCTTGGGGTCCCCGTTTCATGCGGACTTTGGTCCGAAAGGGCTCCACGGCCCCTGAGGAGAGATTAAAGCAATCTCGGGGTAGGGGGATATTGCCGGCGCGACATACAGGAAAGGAGGCGATCCATGCGCAAAGGGTCGCATCGGCTGTCGGTTGTCAGGAGTACCTCTGTGTACCTGCACTGTGTAGGAACGACATGACTGGCCAATTGTCGGAGAATTTAAGTAGATCGTGAATCGTACCTTGGATGATGGCTTTGCGGTAAAGGCTGCGAACCATGGGAAGATTAAGGAGGAATCCGTCCTCCCGTCGTGGGTGATTTAAGATAGACTTCTGCCTAAGGCGAGGAAGGGTCACATGTTCTTCGGTTTCTCTCCAATTCAACTGCCTCCTTCTTCCATAAGCTAATTAAGCTTCTGTCAATTTTTTTGGATCTCAGAGGTCTACTAGACGCGATATCAAATGTAGTCTTGTTGCCAGTATGCCATTTCCTGGACATCTAAGTTACTTCCTGCATCCCATCAAAGCACAATGGCATAAATTGCTCGAATTAACAGAACCAGGGAGCATTTACTGGCTGATCTCAAACTCCAGCTTCATCTCTCATCTGAGGACTGTTGATAAAATCACACCGATCAAACAACTTTTCCCACGCTAATGCTCGCTGTGCTGCAGTCATCACACCGTTCTCCTCCTCTCTACCTATCGCCACCTCCGACAAACCTAGAGGACCTCCGATGACCTGAATCGACAGCCTACTAGCGCTCTCGCCTGATTGTTGCTCATCGAGCATAGTAGGATATGCGGATGACCATTTCTGCACGCCAGAACCCTCTCCTCCCGGGCTACCATCATGTACAAACCCGATAATCGTCTTACTAACCGTCTCACTCAGCGCCAGTTGTTGCAACGAGTTATCTGCACCTCCTTCTAGGTGCAGGTTATTGAACACATATGGGATATCACTGAGATGTGCCACTCTCCACATAGGCACTCCCATCGCTTCAAAGACAGGTGCAAATCTTGTCGCATTGTGCTCGTACAACCAGATCCGCGATGCGTTCAAGCCTCCGGTCTGGGCATACTGCCATGAAAAGTCCAATACCGGGCAGGTGAACCAGATATCTCGACTCATCTGCGCGGCGCGGTAGTATTGCGGCGAGATCTCACCATCATAGTCTTGGCGGACCATGTGGTTGAAATCTTCCACTGGATACAATTGCAGGAGCTTTTCTTTCGTTGATTGAGAAAGGCCGTGTAGCCAAAGACCAAAGCTACCAAGGACGTCTTCGTCTGTGGTTGTCTGCGAAGATGCATACCAAGCGCCATCATTGGTCACCCACGATGCTACTATTGGGATATTCTTGACGAATTTACCGGTACGCATCAGTTGAGATGGTCGGCCGTTAAGATAGTCATGGTCGATAGTCGGGTAGAAGTATCCTTCACCAAATGGGGGACGGGCTCTTCGGGCCTCCTTGACAGTTACATTGGTCAGTAAGTCAGCTGGGACAGCCCGCAGGCATTCCAAGGTCTCAATGGAATGGCCGTCATCGTCTTTGGCGCATCCTACTCGCCTAGCTATGGCGACAGTGTTGTTCGCAACGAAGGCCGGGTCGCTGTTGAAATTGACGCCGGGTGCGCCGGACATCATCCTACGTTGAATTAGTCAGTGTGGGAACCTAGTGTTATCTATAAGAGGCTAACATTGCTTGCTGGAAAGGGACGTATTGGGAGCCGTTGAATGATGTCAGATGCAGGCCGATGTCGCTGGCTCCCACGCTCTGGCCGATAGCAGTCACTGAATGAACTGGTCAATCATCTCGCGTCTAGGTGAAGACTGTGGAAGTGATACCTCGATCTGGGTCACCCCCGAATACTTCAATGTGATCATGCACCCCTGGTCGACATATCAGTTCCCAAAAGTCGTTTGGGACACTTTGACGAAGGCATGAAACCTACACTGCAAAGCAGCTCGCTGATCGCGCAATCCCGCATTGGTCTGCTTGGTCTCTATCATTGCCTTGCTCGTGGCGAAGCCAAATACTAGGTGACTTAGCATCCGCAAGTTCGCAGAAAGTCGAGCGGCTCTTACTTCCTAAGCGATAGTTGATACCAACATAAATCAATGGTTTCCCTGCCGCAGCAGCCGCCCTGACCAAGCCGTCTGGCGTGTACAATATATCGGACGCTGATCCCAGCGCATGGCCCCCTATCCCGAAAGACAAGTTGTGAGAAACAATCTCCCTTGTCCTACTAACAGAGATGACCGGACAAACCTCCATGTAACCAGACCGCAACTGGTAGCTTCGCATTGCTGTGTACTCCAGGAGGTCGAGCAATTCGCAGGCTCAGACAATTCTCACTGATATTATTCACTTGGCTGGTGAAAGGTAGTATATCTCCCATGCCTTGAGGACACCAAGCACCAGACTTGCTAGCATCAATGATGGATCCCTTGGGCGGGCTTAGTGGGACTGGAGGTGCAAATCGTCGTTGACCGGTTGGCTCTTCTGCATAAAAAACATTCTGGAAGTGCTCAACTCCAGGAGTGCGACTGCCAATGTATTTGATGTCGCGAGTGAAATCTGTGACCGTTGGTGGAAAGATGGATGCACTAACAATGAGGATGTTCGCTCTCTCCAGAAGATGATGACGGATCTGAGAGTAATATGCTGTGATGAGACTTATCGCCACAGCAACAAGGCCAAAGAGAAGATTTATCTTGAGTGTGGTCATGGCTTGAGACATTAAGTATGGGTGTTAAAAAATTACTATCAGCAGGTGCTTACAGGCCATCGATCTGAAAGCAGCATTAGGATTGAGGGTCAGAAGTGTCAGTGATGACACAATGGGTGTTGGTTCAATTAGTGCTGACTGTTAACCGGCATTTCCGGTTAGCAAAGCTGTCCGTCTTTTGCATCCTAATGGCCGAAGCGATGAGTCTCATTCCATGAAGTTGACGCTCATATTTGGTTATTGATATCTTTGCAAAGCAGCTCCCATAGAATATGGTACTTGGTATCTCTGCCAAGTGCCGTTGGCTCCACAGCCGGCCCCGCCGAAGATGACGACGAATGTTTCTTCACGTCCGTTGTTGCAAGTTGCACCTGAGAGTTACTCAGTATCTCAATAGCCGAGGTTTTTTCCCGATATTCTGCGAGTCATGTATGAACTTCGGCCGATGCCATGTCAACGGCTCAATGCTGTCAAACCCCTGTTGAGGCGCCGGGCCCAATAGCTCACGCTAAGTTTAGCCAACCACCAGCTTGTGGGAATAGACTAGTATCAGGGGCTGCGGCTGCAGAATCTGTCGATCTCACGAAAGCTGTCATCGGATTTGTCTAGGATCTAAGCGAAGCGCGTGATAACTCAATCTGAAACAACGACAGCGACTATCCCACGGGGCCAAGTTCCGGTTACGGACTCGACATGCTATCCACTGAGAGCCTGTTGAAAGGGTGGCCAACGAAAGGAGGCATCAAGGGAAGGATGTCCGATCTATATAATTCAACATTTCTCGCCGACTGACCATGATCCCGCCCAAGTCCACATGAAGACAACATGTTGACATTCCTACTCTTCGCCCTCCCGGCTGCCGCGCAGTTGTCTGGCGCCGTCGGCCCGACGACTTCTTATGCCTCCAAGGCGGCCAACAAGGTCTGCAATATCGTCGACTACGGTGGCTTCCCCGATAATGGCACAGATATCGGCCCCGCTCTCTCAGCTGCTTGGGGTGACTGCGCCAAGGGCGGACTGGTTTATATCCCACCCGGCAACTTCTCCATGGCGACGTTTCCAGCGCTAAAGGATGGTGCCTCGTCGGCCGTGCAACTCGACGGGGTGGTTCATCGCACCGGGGCTGAGGGCAGCACGATGTTTTCCTTCCGCGGTTGCACGGACTTTGAATTTTTCTCAGGCAACTCCCGCGGTGCTATCCAGGGCTACGGCACCGAGTACTTGTCGCAGGGTGAGTACGGCCCACGTCTCATGCGCTTCCACGACATGAGCAACTTCTCCGTGCATGGACTCGCGCTGGTCGACTCGCCGGCATACTACCTCACCCTGGACACGGTCAGCAATGGCGAAATCTACAACATCATCATGCGCGGGCCTACTGTTCTTGGAGGTACCGATGCGATTGACGTGTGGGGAGACAACGTGTGGATCCACGACGTCGAGGCAACCAACGGCGATGAGTGCGTGACGGTCAAGAACCCTGCATCCAACCTCTTGATTGAGAGCATTTACTGCAATCTCAGCGGTGGAATGTCGATCGGCTCGCTCGGCACGGGGACTGACATTCATGACATCTACTATCGACACATTTACGCGAACGATGCGGACCCATGCTTCATCAAGTACAATGGGGGCAACGGCACGGTCAGAAACATCGTCTGGGACACGGTCACGGTCCGCGGCGGCGCTTATCCGCTGTCGATTGACTCCAGCTGGGGAGCGGCAAATGACGGAGATGGAGTGGAAATCACCAACCTCACCTTCAAGGCAAACTGAACTTCTTAGGTATTGCGGGACCAATTGCTAATTCTAGACAGAACTGGCACGGGTACAATTCGGACAATTCACGTCCGGCTATTCGACTCCAGTGCGGATCCGAGGTACCCTGCACGGATATCAATCTCGAGAGAGTGAACATGTTCAGCGAGGGTGACTACGTCTACTACGCTTGCGAGAATGCCTATGGAAAGGGGGCGTGCTTGGAAACGGCCTCGACCGCTGCCGCGACCGGTTATACCGCTCATCAGACAATGACATCTATCGGGTAAGCTCTTTCTCTGCAAGTTATTTCAACACGCTAACCCGTTGTCGCCAGAGTGTATACCACTGCCTGGATGGTCGACGATATTACCACGGCGATGCTGGCCAATACCTCCTACACCATCCCCCCTATGCCAACAAGCTTCTATCCGGGCCAGTCTCCATACTCCGCTCTTCTACACCTGAGCGGACCTGGTGGTCTGGGTGCAGCAAGCTCTTCGGTGTACGCATCCAGTACACCTGTGGCAGGATCGTCGGCACTTCCGTCCAGCACAGCCGTGGCTACCAGCCAGCAAAGCCCAAGCTCGGCTGCCCCTAGCCAGACTGCTAGCGTTCCCGGTCAAGAAGGACAGACTTCTTGCTCGTCGAATTACAAGGAGCCTGGGCATGGTTCAAACCCCCATGACCACAAGGCGTTCCATCTGCATAAGGGGGGCCACCAACATAAGGGTTGAGCCCTCGCGTGTGAGTGCACGCGGGCAGTGAAAAGCTTACCACTTGATGTATAATATCTGGCTTGGAGTGTGTTCTCTCTTACTTGTTGGACATAATCTCAATACTAGTGTCTAATTATATAACGCGACATTTGCTCAGAGTGGACGCTCAACTTGCAAAGCAATGGGTAGTATATATATAGCTGGAGTGCAACGTTATTGCAAAATGTTTGAGTCACAACTCAACGAGAGGTAGGCAAAAGTACTAATCTCGAAGCTACTGTTGAGAGTGTGTATTACTCAATACTCCTAATGCTTCCATACATTCGTAGTCCAGATGTCTAATCTACACCAAAAATACTGCCTGCTACAAAGTTTGGGAATCCCCTTTGATTCTAAGCCTCATCAGTGCATCAAGACCATACACAAGTACAGTACTATGTATGTCAGAGGCCCTACCAGGACTGACATGCCCAGAATTATCCGTCTCACTCACTCCAAGTATTCGAACAACGAAGCAGACGCAAACAATGCACAAGCCATCGATGAGGTCATTTCCTCAACTCCTTACATAAGCAAAAGTAGTCAGGCGGTGAAGGATCAGCTATTCTGCCCGAGCAATCTCCCCGAATCAACAGCTTCAACGGCGCAACACAACACCGCGATAACAGCTTTCGACACGGCCTACCATCGCTGGGTTACTCTGCCCGAACGCCCGGATACGACTTCCTCTGTTTATATTTCTTAGAACCTCTCCTTTTGTTACAGTCGACCATGGCAGCCCCAGCATCGAGCGGACTCAAGTTCCTGAGCAATGCGCTAGCGACCCCGGAACAACTCTCCAACTCGTCCTCCTCCATCGACGGGGTCGCCCCCGACCTCGAGGCCTCAATCCGCTTCGCCGGGGCCCTTCTCACGCAGGCAGCAGGAGTGTACCTCCGGCTACCGCAGGACATCATCGCGCAGGCCATTGTCACATTCACGCGGTTCTGGATCGGAGCCGACGGAGGGAGTCTTCGGATATACAACGTGCAGGTAATGGCTTTCTCTCGGGTCCAGCTTAACAGCTTGGATTCACCGCAGCCGGGCCCTACAAAACACCACAACTAGCGTTGACGCAAAACTAACAACTCAAATCATCTACGCAGGATATCTCCGCCGCGGCCCTGTACCTCACAGCCAAACTGAGCTTCCAGCCGACCTCGCCGCGCTCCATCCTCAACGTCTACGGCTTCCTCCTGTCCAAAGAAGCGTCGCCGCTGTGGTGCACGAACCCGAGCCCCGTGACCAAGGAACCGCCGAATCCGGAGACCTACGTGCTCACGGAGGGCCAGTACCAGGCGCGGCGGCTGGGGCTGATGCGCACGGAGGCGCGCATCCTGCGGACGCTGGGGTTCAACACGCACGTCGCGCTGCCGCACACGGTGTCGCTGACGTACCTGCAGACGCTGGGGGTGGCGGCGCCGGCGGTGGCGCGGCGGGTGTTCGAGCACCTGAACGCGGCGCTCCTGTCGCCGCAGCTGCTGTACGTGACGCACCAGCCGAATGCGCTGGCGGTGGCGGCGATCTACCTGGCGGCGCGGGAGGAAGGGGTTAAGCTGGTGAACAGCGAGTGGTGGGAGGTGTTCGATGTGGATCGCGAGGAGCTGGGGTTCCTGGTGGTGGCGATGCGCAGTATGGAGGGTTTCGCGAGGGCGGAGTTGGAGAAGTGGAAGGGGCGGGCGGTGCCGATGACGGTCGAGGAGGTGGAGGCGGAGATTGAGCGGAGGCGCGTGGAGGGGGAGTGAATCGAGGTGGTGGTCTGCGCGGATTGAAGCTATTCCTTCCACATCATGAGAAAGAGCACAGCTTGCTAGCTGGCTTGAGACTCGAGCCCACTGCTGGAGACCGGCGGAGAGCGGTCGAGCGTCCAAGGTCCAGGCCTGGGATCGGGTCCGGCTTGCAAAGAACAAGAGTCCCCCGAGGGTCCTCACCTGCCCGGCTGCCAGCCGGAGAAGCCCTGTTATCGGCTGGAAAGCGATGGGACCTATTCGTGTCGCCGTAGCGGCGCTACGAATCCGGGAGGTGGCGCCCTCGGATCGGGGATGCACCAGCTGGAGAGGCAAGCTAGACCTAGGCCAGAATGGTGTGAGTAGTAGATGATCAGAGAAAGTGAAATGAGGTATTCTTATGCGCCCATATGATGAAATCTTGCACTCAAGTAGGGACTCACGTGCATAGTGTACCGTGATAAGTTCAGCCACATGATAAGTAGCGATAAGCCCCGCGTGCCGCAGGGCCGAGTCACCAGCGGGATCAACGTCCGTCACCCCTCATCTCCCCCTACTTCCCTTTCACCGCCAACCTGGCATACTCATACTTCTCGATTACTATCTCTCTACCACAACTCCAACCACAACTCACTGGACTATACTACTCTGAATCAACGCTTACCCACTGCAGCCTCACAACCACACAAAACGAAGCCCACACCCACACCCACACCCACACCCAAACTGAAACCCCACAGCCCAACACCAACGCAACCCAACAACCCCCTTCCAAAGTTCATCACCAACCTCACACCTCCACCCTCCACCAACCCCCCTGCCCCCAAAATGAACATCCTCCACTCCACCCTAAGCACCTGGCGCGACCGTCTGGCCCCTATTTCCCGCACCTCGACCTTCCGCACGACCGGCCAGATCACCCCCGAAGAGTTCGTGCTGGCCGGCGACTACCTGGTCTACAAGTTCCCGTCGTGGGCGTGGGCGGACGCCTCCTCGCCGGCGAAGCGCGTCTCGTACCTACCAGCCGGCAAACAGTTCCTGGTGACGCGGGGCGTGCCGTGCCACCGACGGTTGAACGATGATTTCGCGGGGGATGCCGGGCGGGAGGAGGAGATTGTTCGGGATATGCTTTTCGGGGATGGGGATGATGCAGATGCCGCCGGTGATGGTGATGAGGAGGAGGGGTGGTTGCGGACTGGTGGGGGCTCCAACTCAACACCAGCCCAGGGAGCTAGTGCTGCCGGGGGAAGGATAGGGGATATCCGCACCGTCGACGAGGCGGGGAACGTGGCTGACCGTGCCGATCAAGAGGAAGCCGAAGAAGAGGAAGAAGAGATCCCCGACATGGAGGATGAGGATGACGACGAGGAGGCGATTATCCGCGAGCCCGTGGGGAAGAGTTCGGGGCTTTCGACGTAGGATCTTTCCCTTCCTTCCCCTTCCCCCCCCCCCCACCAAAAAAAAGAAAGACAGTCCCACTGACATCCCTCCCCCCCAGACCAACAAGAACCTACAATCTCTACATCACCTACAGCAACTTCTACCGCACCCCGCGCCTCTACCTCTCGGGCTACCTCTCGCCCTCAGAACCGCTCCCGCCCCCGCTCATGATGGAGGACATCGTCGGCGACTACAAGGACAAGACCGTCACGCTCGAAGATTTCCCCTGGTTTGATGGCAACGTCAAGATGGCCACCGTGCACCCCTGCCGCCACGCCTCGGTCATGAAGACCCTCCTGGACCGCGCGGACGCCGCGCTGAAGATCCGGCGCGAGAAGGTGCGAGCTGCCGCCGCCGCCGCCGCCCAGCAAAAACAGCCGCAAGATACCCAGGCGGAAGGGCTGGTCGATCCCGTGCGCGGGCTTTCCCTGCACGATGCTACCCTCAAATCGGAGAGACACGGCGGCGATGAGTGGGAGGTGCTGCAGCATGACCACGATGAAGAAGCAGAGGAAGAAGAGCAGTTTGCCATCCGGGTGGATCAGTATCTGGTGGTGTTTTTGAAGTTCATTGCCAGTGTGACGCCGGGGATTGAGCATGATTTTACGATGGGGGTTTGAAAGTTTGGGTGCGTCGTTTTTTTTGTCTTGTTTTGCGTGTGTGTTGTTGTTGTTGTTGAGTTCGGGTAGGTGTAGTAGGCACTGGGCATAGGGAGTTGGGTTCCGGCTTGGGCGTTTGCGTTTCTGTTTACATTTCATGGTTCCTTTACTTCACTTATCTACTAAATAACGACCATTTGCCAACGACCATTTGCCAACGACCATTGGCCTTTTTCTCTTTAGTTTCTCTGTTGCTGAATGTTCTGGTCGCTAATATGCCTGCTTACTGCTTGTCATCTGGATTCTCTCCAAGGGGGTCGTTTGGGGTCGTTTGGCCTGGGCGAGATGGGACAACCGTTCGTCTGCTCCCTCAAGCGATATGAATCCCGGCCCTCCACCAATTCATCTTCCCTTCATTTTTCTCCATCTTCCCTTCCTCGCAAACTGCAAAACTCTACTAGCAAGCGAACGAGCCATGAAGAATCCGACCCACGATGTAAGCTGAAATTTGAAATGAAACCTACCAATCTGGAATCCCATAGTGATAATAATGATAATTGCATTCCTAAAGACCGAATAGACTATCATTCCCATAAATAGAAAACCACAGAATTGACTGAATAACTGAGAGGTCGTCGTGATTAGAAAAGTTACTAATATCAGAAAACAAAAAACGTGTCGCCCATTCAGTTCCGACAAAAAAAATACACATCATGTTAGGAGTCGACGGATGCGCACACCAGTAAATGCTCCGGTTTGGCTCCGTTGAGAAGCAACACATGATCAGCCAGAAATTTGTATAGAGAAGGGAAAGTATGAAAGCAAAGAAGAAAAAAAAATGATCGCTGATTGTCGAGAGAGAAAAGAAGACGTGCTCGAAGCGCTGCATGTAGTTTGCCACTACTAATCATACCTGACCCCAAAAATCTAGGCAGGACATTGACAAGTGTAGGCGGGGAGTGGTGGGGATACAGGCGCAGGGGCAGGCTTGTTCTCGTTCTCAGGCACCTCGGGGGCTGTCTTGGGCTCCGTGGCGGGGCTGGATTCGGGGCTGCTGGGCGCGGCGGCGGGAGCGTCGGGGCCGGGCTGGGGCTGGGTCTCGGGGGCGGACTCGGGGGCAGATTCAGGCTTGGCTTCGGGAGCGGGAGCAGACGCGGGGGTAGAGGTAGGCTTTTCGGTCTCAGGGCCAGGTGCTGGGCCGGATTCAGCAGGAGACTCGAGGCTAGACTCAGGGCTAGACTCAGGCGCGGACTCAGGCGCGGACTCAGGCGCGGACTCAGGAGCAGGGCTGGGAGCAGTCTCAGGAGCAGCCTCAGGAGCAGTCTCAGGAGCAGTCTCAGGAGCAGTCTCAGGAGCAGTCTCAGGAGCAGTCTCAGGAGCAGTCTCAGGAGCAGTCTCAGGAGCAGGACTGGGAGCAGCTCCCTCCTCAGACTCAGGAGAAGGGCACTCCTCAGCAGGTTCCTCGGCACCAGGGCCCTCAGCCTCGGGAGCAGGGGCAGGGCTAGCAGGCTTCTCAACAGGAGAAACATCAACTGGGGCAGCGGGGGCCGGGGCCGGGACAGGAGCAGGGACAGGAACAGGGACAGGAGCGACGGGCTCAGAAGGACCCGCAGGCTTTTCCTGGGGAGGAGCAGGGGCGGTGGTCGGGGTTTGAGGGGCCGGAGGGGCAGGGACGGGTGCAGTTCCGGGTCCTTCATGGGTAGGAGGAGCCACAGCAGAAGGGTTGGGATTGGGTGCCTCCGAGGTCTGAGGAGCAGGAGCAGGAGGGGCCGGCTCATTGTGCGGTGGTGAAGGAGGTGGTGATGCCGGCTCTGTGGTCTCCGGTTGCTGAGGCTTGGGCTCGGGCTTAGGCTCGGGCTTGGGTTCAGGCTTGGGCTCAGGCTTGGGCTCAGGCTTAGGTGCTTCCGTGCTCTCATGGCTCACGTGGTAGAAGTTGCCCATGTTGACACTGGGTCCATCAGGAATCCCGATGTTCCAAGATTGGCCTGCATCGGTACTGTCCGATTGATGCGAGCCACCGCTCTTGCCACCGTCGTTCTTGTCGCTGCCTTCGTGGTAGTGGGAGGAGGCGGCGTTGCCTCCGGTGTAGCTGGGACCGTCCGGAATCCCAATATCCCAAGCCTGGCCTGCAGCGGTGCTGCTGTCCGTTCCATGCGATCCGTTGTCCTTACCGCTGCCTTCGTGGTAGCGAGAGGAGGCGGCGCTCGCCGTGTTGTAGTAGGGTCCATCGGGAATGGAGATATCGCTGCCGCTACCCGCGAAGCTCTCTGAGTCGAATTGCCTTTCGGCCAGGGTTGTGCTCTGCGATATGTTAGAATTTTCCGGACATTTAGCTCATCAGAGTGACTTACCTTGGAGGCAACAGGTGCCGACAGAGCGGAAGGAGTGACGAGGGCCAGACACAAGAGTGCCGAAAGGCTCTTGGAGTTGTACATTGTAGTGAAGATCCGTGAAAAGAGTTGAGAAAGAATGTGATTGCAAATTGAAAGAAAGTCAGCAATGTGTCAGTCAGTGAGTGTATGGTAGAGAAAGAATGGATGCTGTGATGAAGACAGCCGATGATGAGTCTGAGGAAAGATCAAGTCAACCAGAATATATCAGGTCTTTATACCCTGAAGCTGGGCCTTGTAAGGGAGTTACCCTGGGATAGCCCTTTCTAGGAGGAGGTTGTACCTTGTACCCATTGCCAGGCAACCCATGGGCCTAAGCAAGGCCCACGAGACAGTGGCGTCAATTGATCCAAGATCTCGATCCAAATAGCTCTCATCTTATCAGCAGCAGCCACACACCGTCCGGATCGTCCTAGAACAATTTCAGTCGCAGTCCTGTCTTCACCAAAGGGGCTAAGGAGATAAGGTGGGGATGTAGCTTGCTCCGGCCGGGGTCGATGCAAGGAGCCGCAGACTCATCACTGCTGCTCGGCCAACAAATTAACCAAACAACAAAAAGTACTCCGTAGTGAGGCACCGATAGAAAATAATGAATTTAGTAGTTACACATGGTTGCCGATGCATATGCAAAAAGAAAAGGTTCAGCATCATTCAAGAGTCATCAGTCATGGTATCCAATTAAGAAGCCAAATTCACCCATATGACACCACAGAGGGCGAATGGCTCCAAGCATATACTGGGACAAATTCATGCACCAGCAAAATAGCCTCATACTTTTCCGCAGTCCGAATTTCCAAAAGCCGTGCCAAAATTGGTGGTCTTCTTGAACCGCAATTCAGGTTCGTCGGTTTCACCCTGGCTGCGAGGCTCAGCCTCATCTTCCTCATCTTCCCTCTCCTCCCGAGAACCCCTGCGGTGGTGGCCAAGGACCTGCTTGACCTGGTCCAGAAGCCTCTGATCAAGCTCCTTCAGAAAGCTACTGTCGTGTTCCTCCTCGTTCAACAAGGAGAGCGGCCCCTTCAAAGCTGGGTCTTCCGGCAAGTCTGCAAAGTACGAATCGGACTGTTCTGCAGGTTGCCGAAGCACTGCCGGAGCAAGGGGGCTGGCCTCATCTTGGACCTCCTGAGGAGACGGTTGCTCCGTGTCAATATCACGATCGATCTTGGCCATGGGAGTATGGCCGGCGTTCCTGGTCAGGTTGAATTCCGGGGGACCCAGCTCGGATAATCGCAGTTTTAAACTGTTGCGGTGCTCATTCGGGGGGCGGGTCGAGGAGGTCGGGGAGGTTTCGAGTGACGACGGTGATGGTGGTGTGATCACGCGGGCAACCACTTCAGGGGGCAGGGCAGATGACTTGAGGGTAATCCCATCTAGCTTGCTGTCCAGCTTCTCAATCGGTACAGGGACACTGGCGCCCGTAGAGGGGTCTACTGCATGCGATTTGGGAGAAAGAGCTGCGTCCAAAGATGGCGCAGAGACATATTTGGCTCCTTGCTCCGGGATCGACGATAAAGTGTGGATGTCCGTCGTCTCCGCGTCAGGAAATACCCTGGTGGGCCGGCTCCCAGGGCTAGATCCCTCCCACACCTGCGCACTTGCGTGAAATTGGTCGGCAAAACTTACTGAGTGGGAGCGACCGTACGGGGCATTGTTAGCGGAGAAAGAACTCAACGCAAAAGCGCCGGGCGGCAGCACGGTCGCCGATGCAGTGGATCCTCGCCCTTTTAGCAGGGCTTCTAGTTCAGATATCCTCGACTTCAACAACGCCCGCTCTTTTTCCCACAGTTGTCGTTCCTCATTGAACAACTTCTTTTCATTTTCGAAACTGATTCGTTGACGGTCTAGTAGTAATCGCGCTTGGTCGAGATAACTGGCACTCAGGCTCGAGTAGGTGACGCCGGCGGCACCATGGGTATTCAAGACGGGGTGCGCATTTGGCACCGATTGCGTGCGACGGACGGGGGTCGGAGTAGGAGAGAAGCGTACTTCCTTGTAGACACTCCCATGACCATTGGGGGACTTGATTGCAGTTGCTGACTTCATTGTGTTGATTGCGGGTAACTCAAAAAGATCGGGTTTTCTGAGACACTCCGAATGGAGGAAGGGGAGTACTTTGCTAGGTTCGTCGAGGGATGATCGCGCCCTCATAAAGGGATGGGTGGAGGGGAGAGATGAGGGGCAAAGTAGGGCGCACTAGAAACGAGGCAACAATTGGAATGAAGCGGACAATAAGGCCGTCAGTCAATCAGTAAATCAGTGCCTTAACTAGCTCGTATGGTAGAAAAGAAAAAAGTCCGTTGGCTGCTCGAGGCGACAACCAAACAACTTGTGATAATGCACGGATGCAGCGACACCGCTTCGCGATGACAAGAGCCAGGGAACCACGACAACGGATCACTTTAGCAAAGTGGCGAATAAGAACAACCCGGTGAGTGGGGGAGAGGGGGGGGAGGGTGGGGGGTCAAAGCTAGTTGTCTGCAGCGGTCAATGGGCGTAGGATTGAACCCCTGATTGATAATGTTTGGACGGTGCCTGAAACACAACTCGAAGCTGCGAGGCAAACTGTAGAGTAGGTGGGCGAGGAGGGAGAGGAGGTGTTTCGTGTGGACGAAAACGGCGGTGGTAGATAGAGGCGACCACACGAGGACGGCCAAGTGGACGTTGCGCTTGACTGGAGTTATGCGATGGGGAAAAGTGGGGATGGATGGGTGATCACAGCCTAAAAGTTTGGTGGTTGAATGAGCGACATTGTCAGACTGAAAATCGACCAAATGAAGACGACGAAGAGAAGAGAGAGAGAAAGAAAGGGAGAGCACAAGAGAGAGGGGGTGAGGGGGAAAGCGTAGAAAAATAAGAAAAGATCAGAGCCTGATGAGGAGGATGCGACCAAGAAGATCTTCTTCCTCCTCCTCCTCCTCCTCCTCCTCCTCCTCCACCACCACCATCACTAAGCACTAAATGCGGGGGAAGAAACAACAAGAGTCAGGTTAAGCAACAGCAGTCGGAATCGGTGGTTAGGTTACTCTGCTTGTGGTACAACTGAAGTACAACAACACGTACCAGATTTGAACAGAGAGTAAACTGACCAGGCAGGACCAGGCAGTGGAATAGTTAGGTAGCTTCCCAACAGCAGTTGTCGACATCCACCAAAAACAGGAGCAACAAGAACAAGCAGAAGAGCCGGAAACAATCACTTATTAAGGTAAGAAGGCGATTCTTGAGATGACATACATTGACAGTCCAGACAATAGAAGAAAACAACAACAGAAGACACAAGGAGTCGATCACGAGGGGTCAATGACGTTATAATCTGCTTTGTTCCTTTTCCCCCTCCAGGATTCACCGCAGTCATTCTCGACTGGGAAAGAGAGAAAAATGATAAATAATAATCAAGAAAACCAAAATAAGCTTGCCCATTCCTGACTCAAGGCCAAATGATTTCATGGTTCCATGATCTATTCATGTGGATTATCCTTCATCATCTGGCATGTCCACCCGATAACGTAGTATTCGATGCTATGTATGTAACCGATTGCATGAGTATGTGATCGCAGTGAGTGAGTTATAGATCGAACCCGCGCGGGGCGGTAAAAAAAACAAAGTGGAATTTCTCGCGGAATGGATAGTCGCGTTTATTTGCACCTCGACTGGTGCGCAGAATGATGATGATCATGAATCTCAAATGCAAAAAGCAAAGTCTATACAATATACATATACAAATATGCGCAGAGATCGCACCCCGGAAATGCCCACAGAACTCCTTGAATGAATGACCATCCTTATGCTGACCCAAACTCCCTCCCAGTGGGCGCAACCAGCCAAAACCATCGCAACAGAACTCCCGCCGTTGGCGACCGCGCGGAAACTCATAATACTGTTTTATATTATGAGTGGAGAATCGCCAAAACTCAGGGAGTTTACCCTTGGGTTAAGGTAGAGTAAATCCCTCGGTTTCAGTCGGTGCTCAACGTCATCCTGCAGATGATAGTCCCCACAAGTAACCTGGAGTATAGAACACGGCCAGTCGGATACACATCAAGCGGGAAAAGGAAAAAAAAAAAAAAGAACTCTAAGCTCATGTTCACCAAGAATGAGAAAAGAAAATGTACATGGTATGACAAAAGGTTGATATGAGGAATACGTCTGTTTTCCCCCTTCGAAGACACGAGGACTAACAGGCCACTGAGGACGACAAGGCCAGCATCCATCGATCCCTCTAAAAAACGAGCTTCTGAGGCGACGCCCGCGTCCGATCCTGAAGCAGCTTCTTTGCATCGTCCATAACATATCGGTGCATGGATGGCAAGGGGAAGAAATGGAGATCCTTGCCCAGGGCGCCGAACATCGTGGCTAGAGACCAGATGCCTCGCGCCGACGACTGCAGGCCCCCCACCGAGGCGGACGGGTAATAGAACCGCGGATCCAGATAGAACAGGGTGCTCTCCCAGTGCGGCAGCTTGTCGCGCAGCATGCGCGCCGCTCGCTCATACTCCTTCAGCGTGCGCTTGGGCACCCCGGTCTGGGAATGGACGAAGAAGAAGATCTCGAAGCCGACGCTGCGGATGCGGTCCCGCGCCGTGGCACTAAGGGTGTCCAGGAAGGCGGCCATGCGGTCGAGGTTGAAGGAGTTGAGGAAGAAGAGCGTGTTGTGCGAGTACACATAGTCCTCGACCTCGTCGTGGATCTGCCGGTTCACAGACAAAAGATTTCGGACTCGACCGTTCTCGCCCACCCAGCTGGGACACATGGAGAGGGCTCGGTACCGTCCGCGCGCGGTGAACACATTGCCGCGATCGTTGATCACGATCATCGGCCGGTCCATGTAGTCATTCGGGACGTCCAGCGCATATTCATAGATCATGAGACGAAGCTCGAGGGGCAGTTTGAGAAGATGGGACGACATGCTTGCCGACTTCTTCGGAGACGCAGTAGTCACCGGCGGTCGGTCGATATGCTGCGGTACCCCCATTGAGTAGAATCAGAGTGATGAAGATATGACGATAATCAGATAGTAGTAGTTAGATATAGTCGCGGGGTTTAGTAAGTCAATCCTTTTGTGAAGAATGAACTAGTTTGAATTAGTAGATCAGACCGGCTCATGGTACTGCCTCAGCCGTCCAATTGCTTTATATATCTGGGACTGTATATCCGATCTATGTTAGTAGCATCGGCTATAAAGACCCGACTCGAGACAATCCACGTCAGGCAAGGCGTCGTCAAGGCCAGCAGACAGATACCGGATCACCACTGGATAAATTGAGGAATCGATCAGATCATGCCAAGTGCCGTCCGATAACGCAAATGGATGTATAAGGAGGCAATCCCGGGTCAGCAGTAGAAAACGAGAGCTAGAAACGGGGCCAAAAAAAGCAAAGACGGATGAATATCAGACCACCCCCCTCTTTCTTGGGCTTTGGGGCTTTGGGCTTTGTTGCTTTTCTAAGACATCACCTCACATCGGCATCATTCGAATAAATTGCAGAAAGACGGCAAAAGGGGGGTAAAGTAGAGCAAAGAAAAAAAATTATGACGAGACTCGGACCGGACCACCACCGATCGATTTTTTTTTTTTCTTTTCTTTCTTCTTTTCTTTACTTAGAAATTTTCTTTTTTCTTCGGCCCAGAAGTTTGTTCGAAAAGTTTATCGACAGGGCGAGGCTCTCGGGATTACCCGTGCCAGCCGATGAGAAAAGATTGAGACAAAGACTATGAAGGAGTGAATGGAAATTGTGCCAGTTACTGCTTGGAGTAGTCTCAACGGCGTGGCCCCTCAGACGAGCATACTCAGTACAGAACTCATACATAGAGTACTACGAGTCCTACTAATCCGTCAGAACACCCGCAGTCTCTCAGCCATGCTCGACCCGCCGGTGATGCAATATCTACATAGTAATATGTTCTTCCCCCCGCGTTTGGGGCTCGGGGACCGTTCATCCAACTTGCCGGTCCTGAATTTGCCACCGATGCCGTCACGGATGAGGAACACACCGGCGCTCTAAACGCCCATGCACCTGCCTTGAAAAAGACAGTGTTTCGAAGATAATCAATTACCAGTTCCAGGACACGATCAAATTAATCAAAGCTTTATTACAGTGCCATGCCGTGCCCCTTTTCCACGGTAGGCCAAATGCATACATAGGGTGAAGTAGTTAGTTATCAGGTGCGCTGGTAGATGCCGAGTAACCACGCGGCCCGCAAAACGGCCAATCCCCAGGCCATCCCGACACTGTCGCGCACCACATTCAATTTACTGCCCATGACCTCCCGCCAGCCCACCGGCACTTCAGCCACTGGAATGCCAGCAAACTCTGCCAGCATGAGCATTTCCACATCGAAGATCCATCCTTCGGAATGCATGTACGGGATGATATACGGCAACGATGCCCGAGTAAACAGTTTGAAACCGCACTGGGTATCCTTGATAGTGGCGGTCTTGGATGGAGTCAACAGCCAGAGGATTAAATGAAATGAGTGCATAAGGAAGTTGCGCAATTTGGACCGCTATCATCACCGATTAGCAGGAGCTCTCCGCGCGAGTCTCGTAAATGGAGTCGTGCATGGGCGACACGATGAAGCTTACCTTGACCACCGCCTCACTTCCAACCATATGGGCGCGAGATCCCACGGCCACACCACGGCCTAAGGAGTCCTCGACCCCTTGACAGGCAGCGACAAGCTTGCCCAGATCCTCAAACTTACTGGCTCCATCGGCATCGGCAAACACCACATACTGCCCGCGGACATGTCTCATACCATGAGTCACCGCACCGCCCTTTCCTCGGTTCTCAGTGAGGGTCACCACCCGAATCGTCCCCGGAGGGATGTGGACACCCTCCTTCGTCCCCGGGGTCCAAGGGCCCGAATAGCCCTTCGGGTGCAGCGAGAGCTGATGGTCCCGGGCAAACGTGAATGCCGTCTCTTCCGTCTTATCCTTGGACCCGTCCGAGACGATGATGATCTCCCAACCCTTGTTGTCGTGCACGGGATGAGATGTCGCACTGCCATTGGCATGTCCGTTCGCTGACTTGCGCTGACGGAGGGCCTTCTGCGCTGCATCGGCATCCACGCCATTTGGAATGGCGCCGGTCACCGTCCCATACATCCGTTCCAGGTAATTTACAGCCTCTTCCAGCATACCCCCGAGACGATCTTCTTCGTTGTATGCGGGCACGACGAGAGAAAGGAACAGCTCAGGTTCCTCCACGGAAGGATTTTCGAGGGTCCGACCGGGACGCCTCTTGGCGTCCAACGCATCTTGCCAACAAGGTAAGGCTTGAGGTTCCGTGATCGCTCCATCTTTAGTGAGCGTACGATATTGTTTCTCTTCGGGGTAAGGCTTCCGTGGTACAGGTGCGACTGCATAGAGGGTAACGTAGACCTATTTCATTAAGAAAAGCAGTCAGCCATGGCCCGAGATGACTGGCGACAAAGAGCGGAGTGCACCAAGGGATTGGTTTTAGACCAGGTGTAAACATACCAGCACAAGGAAACCAGTCAAGGTTGCGGCGAAGGTGACAAGTAATACGGAGACTGGAACATTGACCAGAAGCTCAACGCATTGAACGCAGATGTCGGACCACGCCTCTTGAGCCATGGTGCAATCCAACAGCAAGTCGAACGGGGGGAAGTCGAAGAAGCGATGGATTGGAACCGTTCGCGGAAGCCTGAAGGCGCGAGCTCAAATGCTCAAAGGGATAAGAACAGGGACAATCCGATCCTGGCCAGCCATGCGACACGGAAAATGTCTGGAAAAAGTGGATTGGTGAAGGGTGATGAGGATAGGAAACAACAATTAAGAGGGAGAGGAAAGCGATCCCAAAGTGAGGGAGATAGCCATCCTACTATTATTGATAATTGAGGGGGAAGGAAGTGGAGGCAACGTGGTTGATCCGAGCAGGCAGGCAGGCAACGCGGGTTTAATTACGGAGTACGGATAAGTTACTCTAAGGCAAGTAAGTATGGTACGGAGTCCACTAGTTAAGTTAACTCCGCTCCTCCCGCCGAGCCGAGACGGACGGCCAACGCGCCTTACTCTACTTGTCCTTTTTGCGCGGCCTCAGTCGTCACCCAAGTGGAGACTTTCCCCTGTTGTTTCTACTAGGTACCTACTATCGATCGCGACATCCTCTCCTTCAAACATAAAACTATGCTTACTGAGACTATCTAAGCTCGGCTTCGGAATCGAGGAATGTCAGGTTTTGGACTTCTGTCCAATTCAGGTCTCATTGCTCTTATCAATGCTATGGATACAAGTGACTATTTGCGATATCAGGCCATGTATGCGGTTGACATGAAGTCAAAAGCATGTGCAAGTCTCGTTCTGTAACGACAATGGGTCATCAAGAGATAGAACAACCCACTTCCTGCATGGCGGTGCAGTTCTCTCTCCAGACCGTTAACTTTGTTCGATGGTACAGTAGTTGTGTGACTCATCGGATCGCTATTCTCAACCTCTGATGGCATCAGAATGCTTTCTAGGCCATGGCATGGGTTGAGAGTTGCATGAGTCCCATTCCCGAACTGTGTATATATCATGTTCCAGAATGCTAGCTCGAAAGCTTTCCTGTTTGATTTGTCCTCCGTCATTGGGACGATATAATAGGGGGAAAGTCCCGGCCTGTGACCTTCCGTGTATGTGATCTGTTCAGGGCATGGATACCTTCGCTCACTGCGTGGCTTGCTTCTGTTAACTTTTTCGACTGGCAAATGGATCGTTTCTCTCGGCAATTGTTTCTAGATCCAGGGCAAATCGAGTCGTGGAGAATTTGTGAGAAGCGGCATCGTATGTTATCCAGCGATTGAACTGTCTTCTGTCAGTATATCACGATGAACTCCGGCGCATTGCGAGCATACCGTGGAGAGCCTCACGCCCAACCATATACACCTATACATCCTCGTGATGCAACGAGACGGCAGTTCGTCATTCCTCATGTCGTCTACAGAAGGCGCACCATCGAAAAACGATGAAGGGTACAAGCGTTCACTCCAGCAGTGTCCTCTAATAAGGTAGTCCTCGGCTACCCACGTCGTTTCCTCGGAGACTGGGAACTCAGGCTTTTCGGCGATACCCGGTTTGATGTAGCTGCGAAACAAAGAATTGAGAAAACTTGAGATTTTTCTCCACGGTACGACAGCCTCCACATGCTTCATTCCCGTGGGGGTCAACGCAAGACACCACAGAAATGCAAGATAGACATGGCATGCTGCGTAGATGTTTTGGTCCCCAATTCGATCAAGAAGCACTGACATGGTCCGATACGCCATATAAGAGCCGTAGAACAATGTCGGTGCCATGTTTGGCGAGTTTTTATAGGCGAGCAAGTCTGTCTGCACCATGTCGAGATCATCAGGTGAAGTCCAGCGAAGAGCTGCCGGTGTAGAAGAGTCTTGGGGATCTGCTGACTGTAACCCAGTAGTTACATCGAACTCATGTGGTAGAAGTGCATCTTCGTGCCCGTATCCCATGATCGCGGCGATATTACTGGCTGATATGAAGAATCCTTGCAGGATGAATTTCTCGTTGAGGTGGGTCACGTATTGATCCAGATGCGACAAGAAAATATTGACGGAATGGTAGAGTCCGTCGCCAAAGTCTCCGGTAAAAAGAAATGCGTGGGCAGCGATGAATGGGCCAACTGGTGGGATACGGCGCATTGCCGTTGAGTTTCTAAGAAAGGGATTTAATATGTCGAGAATACTCGTCCTTGTGCCCAGAAAAGGCTGCTGGACAAGTAGAGATTTCGTGTAGTAGAAGAGCCTCTGTGCGACATCATGTCGAGCCATGACCCCAAGATGGTGTTGAAATTTGCCCATGTCTGGGTTCCGATCGGCTGCTCGGTTGTACCAAGTCATTGCAATGCGAGCCCACAGCCTACGGTCCTCTGTGTCAGTGGTTTCCGCGGCCATTCGGTACCTCGAAAGATCCCCCAAGCACTCCAACCAGGTCTCTTCATATGCAGGAAACTCTGATACCATAGAGGCCATCGTTTTATAAACGTCTTGTATAAAGCCCAGCATATACTCGAGGGACTCAGGGAGCTGGTGACGCATCATTTCCAAGTAGTCATGAATCCCGTAGCGCCACAGGCGAGTTGGCATCATGTATGCATCAGGCAGACTTTTCACACTGGGCCCTGCAGCCGGATCTGAACAGGCTCTGAAGAAGTCATGCTGCTCACTCACTAGCGTCAAATGCACTTGGGTAAGCTTTTCAAGTTGATCCTGCGAGGCCACAGTGTCCATGGTGGAAAACTGCTCGTCATATCTAATGGCTACTTTCTCGCACATGTCAAGACCGGCATAAATCATTTGGATATCATTGATTATCATCTCTTCTGTTGGCAAGTCAACGTTTAGCTGGAAACCAATCCCATGTGATGCTGTACCTTCGGTTGTTGCTGTGCCAACCTCTGGCAGTCTTTGCTCCTCGCTCAACTGCCTCGCGGACTCTCGGCCATAGTTGACGTCCTCCGAGTCCACGCCTGATTGATGGGACGATGCGGCCCCTAGATCCGGGCTGGCGCTCCGAAATAGAGGTAGGCCGTCATCGGATGGAGTCGGACTAAGTTGGAACATCTCTGACCGATGCTGCAAAGGCATAACGTGGTCATCGCCCAGATCATGCTTTTCATCAAGGTTTCTTTGGTTTTCGATGGCTTCTAGATCTGATGGGCGAGTCGACGAAACCTCTCGACCCCAATCTTCCTCCCATTGCTGGTCAAGGCAATTCTCTGGCGCGGTTGAGGGAGTGGATTTGAAAGAATGCTCACTGGCGCTTCCAAGATGCGAGAAACAGGCACTGGCTGAGTGAATAGCGGGGTTTGTAGCCGATGAATCAGCTGGAGAGACGTCACCCGAAGGCGGCGGTGGAAATGATTTTCTACATATGAGGTTAGAAGCTTGCTCAAAGCTCAGTGCTCACCCGTCAAAAACACGGAAGCTAGGACAGGTTAGAGAGAGCAAGGGTTTATGCACATTAAGGACTTAGCGGCGCCTTCGGCTGAGTCTTGACGCGGAAGTGACCGTTGTTCCTGGCCATCAGTTCCAACATTCATTGTCTTGGTAGCGTAGATAAAAACGTCATCTGATCATGAATTAGTCCTCTGTCGGTCTCAACTAACGACTGGGAATGAAGGCGGGAGACTGGGGAATACGCACGAGATAGATACAGTGGAAAGACCGCCAACCATGGAATAAGGTCAGGCAAGTGGTAGGCAATGGCAGTGTCAAAATAAAGCTTGATAGAGGGGGGGGGAACAGTTGGGAATAGCAGGGAACAGTGGGAGATACTATTTATAAGAAGGAAGACAAGGAAGTGGTTTAGGTTTCTTTAGGCAACTAACCCCATCTCTGCCTGGGGGGAGGGGATGCCTGTGCGAACAAACCGAATCACCGAGGAAGGCGCGCACGAACACTGGCAGGTGGAACAAGCCGACAGGAGGATGCTGGGGAAGGGGAGTGAGTGTACAGTACACAGCACACTATCAGAGAATGGATATGTCCCAAAAGGCGACAGAGGCTAAAGTAAGTATGAGTAAGTTAAGTTTGTGAAGTGGGGAGATGTGGTGGGTGAAAGATTTAGAATGAGAGTACGGAGTAGATTAAGCAATGGAAGTACTGTACTCCGTATTGTAGTTAATTTGGTAAAAAAAAAAAAAAAAAAAAAAAGAAAGTAGGTAAGGTAAGGTAAGGTAAGTATGTACCTAGTAAGTGCCGAGACGGAAGGCAAGGAAATCATTGGAAGTGGTGGAAGTCCACGATCAGACAGACAGAATAGAGCACGAGTCAAACCGACAAGGGGAGAAGGCGAGGCTGAGTGGTAAATACGGAGTACCTAGTCCTAGGGGTGGTAATTCACAGTGGTAAGAATGGTAAAGCTCTGGTATTTCTGACTGACGGGAAACGAGCCACCGCCGTCGCCGTTGTCTGGCTGCCTGGTTGCCTTGTCTTCTTCATAGAAACACTTACTCGTCAACCTTGAGGCTCCTTGCCAATCCGAACAAATCTCGTCAGTTTCCTTTCGATCTCAATCACGTCTGGCTGATCGGTTCTTCCTCACCGTCCATCGCCAGCCTCACAAAATGGCAATGACACGAATGAAAAAAAAAAAAAAAAAAAAAAAAAGAACACAACCGAAGAGGAGGAAAAAAGTGTACACTGTCATATTTTGGTGGCGTTGAGGCTCACCATTCTTCAAGCTCTAAGTTCCTGACGCCTGCTTGCTTATGCCTAGATTAGGAAAGTTGTTAACGGCCAGGTCGCCTTCTCAAGCATATCTTTAATTCTTCAATTAGGAATAAATGCATTAATGCCCATGCCTCAGTAATTCTTGACTCCACTCGAAACTCTGTCATTCAATAAGGGTGTGATTTGAGACATCTCTATCAGAAAGTCTCCCTACATGGCGTATCAATATCGAGGAGCTCATGCAGGTGGGTTCTGCGACCTTGATGCCGAACCCGACTGTTTGGTTTGGGCCACACTCCCACCCTCCCTTGCATGCCGCAGGCTGCCGACATCAATCAAGTCCTCAGCGCTGCCACTTGACTGACAAGCTTAATTCCAGGAATGATGATAGCTCTGCCCTTGCGTCATAGGGTGCACTTTGGGCTTTCTCGAACAACTTTCCACGCGAAATCGTTGATACTTCACCACCGATCCACATTCCCTGGCCAGGCCGCTGGTCGCCATGACATCCCATTCATTGAAAAGGCGATAGTTTGACGGCTGAATCCTGGCCTCGATCAATCTCCCCGCGATATTATCATGAATCATTGTCGATCTAGAGGACTCACGTACGCAAATCTTGGCCGGTGCTCTTTGGCCTCTGCAACAATCCTACTCACGTTGCTGATGATGATGAACAGGCTTCTTCGTTTCCTGTAAGTTAGCAGGACTTTTCACCCTGCGGAACCGCAATAGCCGTTTTCTGGACCTTTTCCTTGGGGGAGGGTATTCCCTTCGTCCCAAATAATCGGGTTTACCCTTGCATGGACACCGCTTGTTCGGTCTATTGATAGACATGGACAGCAATCTTTGCGAGATAGTCACGTCGGGGTTGCCCATGCGTGCAGAGTCCTGGCATTCATCGAGATTCCAGGTCGGTTAGTACCAGCGAGACTGTGTGGGTGAAGGCTACCAGCATCCTTGAAGCCGTACGCCGTACCACCATGAACATCGTCGGTTACACTGCCTCTGTCCGGGCAAGTAACGCGTGAGGCGGGGTTTGACCATGATCAGCGCGCCACGTTCAACATCGAGGATGGAAGCTGCTGCCTTTGGATCCCAGGGTCTGATCACCAAGGTTGTTCCAATAAGGCTGGTGGTGCCCTAGTGAGCACTTGCTGTCTGAGTCAGTCACCGACCAGTCACGAAAAATAGTCGTATTCAATGGTGGAACCTACTAGCTATGAATAGTTTTGGATATCAGTCATTTCTATGGAAGCTTGGAAACACATTTGTCTTCTGCACTCAGTTTAGTCTGAGCGTATCGGCCCTAGTCTTTGGGTTATTCGTGGTCCCACCGGCTCGTATAGTGTAGGTGTCAGACACGAGAATCTAATTGAAAATCCAAATGCCTGACTATAGTTAGGCATACTATAGCCTCGGCTTGTCAGTGCGCGATTATCACTTAAAGTTATCGGCCTGATTGACATTGGGCCAGAGCCGGAAGCAAAAGGCTTTGACATCGAAAAGAGATACCTGATAGTATTTACAGTTGTACTGAACTCCATACATCGAGTTACGTACATTCTTAAAAGAGCAATGAAATCCGAGCCTCGAATTACCGTACTGAACATAAACATACACAAAATGCATTTACATACTGCAAGAGACTTTGATACTCATAGTTTAAGTCATAAGTTACTTCGTCCTCGAATTACGTAACATGATCAAGATTGCCTTAGCTCTTTCTCTACAAGTATCCTCCCATTGGATAGACTCTACAGTGTGTATTGCATACATGCTTCGCTCTTACCGAGCGAACTGTTGTCGAAAGCTGACTTGGCCCCATCACTAAAACATAAACCTTCCACGGGGTACCGGTATCATGTATCTCTTTTCTACCTCAACTTTTTGCTCTGGGATCTGTGCTAATTCAGTAAATGCCCTCTAAGAGCATACTGGTTTCTTTCTTTTGATGGCACGCACAGAGTCTCGATCTATATGTTCACTCAGCAGCTGGTCTGATCTGCATGCAGTACACAGTAGGTGACTACTGTCGTACACCCCACCGAACCGAGGCAGACCGATATACCGCTATGTTCTCGCAATGCACTCATCGTTGACTACTACTTTATACCGAGACGATTTTTGAGACTATCCTCTGAAGCATCACTAGTCTCGGGACACCCTCAGCAACTGAATTACCACGTTCACGTTGTTTGGTCCATATTTGTCTGCATGGTATCACCTAGTATCTCGTTTCTCCCAACTCCCAACAATCCTAGCACAAGAATCACTAGTTTTCTCTCCAAGGGTGATCAACTCACCTAATGACCTATGGTAACAGCGCTAATTGATTGCTCCCACAGTAACTAGACCCTCGCTTCTTGACGAGCCACCCTAGCAAAGAGTCTGGTGGTTGCCTTAAACCAATGCGACCCATACCCGGCCATGTGCATTGCCGCTCCTTGGCGCATCCTTTCTTTGCGCATTATCGAGTAACTCAGATTGTTCATCGACTTCAAAAACCACCAACCATAATGAAGGAAAGAGCTTCAATCGGTCCTTTTTCCTCACGAAGCTCCGTAGATGACACTCCACCAGGGGAAAGGCGATCAGCCCCTCTTTGTCAGAACTACAACCGATGATGCCCCTGACCTGGCCTTTTGCCCCCTAGTGTCAACCATGCAAGCCACGTCGATTGACAACGCATGGCCATGGACGAAAGAGCTCGAGTTCAGACAAACGAGGAATAACTAACCAGTTACCCTTGCTATACATCTTCTCAAATGCGGCAACTTACTCTTCTTTCGTCCCTCCCTACACCTCTACTTCAATCCTCGAACCCCCACATCACCTTCTTCGATGCGGAGCACAATAAATGCAAAGCGACCCTGCAGTGTCAGATCGCCCACCAAATATAACTGCACTAGCACCAGCATCGTTACTAAACCCGAGTGTTTCCAGGCAATTTCATTCGTGGGATCTCATCCGTCTCCAAAACAGCCACGGCAGGTACTTCGTGCCAACCTAACACCGGCTATTGGTTCAAGAGCCCCCTCATGCATATGGCATGTCAGGTTAATCGACTTGATAGGCCCTCGCCCAGCAGACCTTCTTCTCGCTATGAGCTTCGGTCATTCATGGCACGGAAAATGGATTTTTTCTTATCGGCGACCTGGAACTCAATTCCGAGGGATCAGTCAACTACACTCCAAGTCATCGACACGGCGCTTTCGATTATTTTGTCTTTTGCATAGCTCCTCGCTACTGCTACGTGCTACAAGCTATGTATTCATTGATCCTGCCTCAATGGGTACCTAGATGCCTCCGAAACCGGTCAGCAGCGATGTTCCGGACTCCATTTTCCAGGCACCAAGCAAGTGGGAACACATCAATCAATCAAGGATGGAAGATCGACAAACCAGGATACATGCGCGAAAGAGAGTATCATAGACTTTTTTTCGCTAGACCGGGACCTACTGCCTGTGACACCTCGTCGGAACCGACTCGGAGAGATTCGCAGCTTCCTCGTCGCGTGGCTACATTTCGAAACCTTCCCTGGGACTGGTCTTGTTTTAAGTGTGGTTTAGGATGTACTGTACCGGACAGAACATCGCAACCGAGCCAAGCATGCGCGCGGCAGGAGGACGCAAAACATGGCCACAAAGTCAATTGACCACCACCGAGTATAACCTTTGCCAGCAAGGCGAGCACTAGACCTGCCACCTAGCCGGGAAAACATAGGCCAAGAGCCCCAGGAGAGAGATCCAGGAACAGCGTGAGCGGGGAACAGCGGCAAGTGGGTATTGATAAGATCAAAGAGAGGAATTCCAGGAAATCCGACGGGGGGAACAAGAAAAAAGCCAAAATCGAAACAGGATAGAGAAACCAATCCGCGATCATCATCCTGTCTGATCGTGGCTGGTCGACTGGACCAATTGCACTGACAGGCAGACAAGACAGATCGATTAGCCCCGGCTAAGTAGCCATGTTTATCCCAGACAAGCAAGAACTGGGGACAACTTTGAAGATAGACCCGGCTAAGTAGCCATGTTTATCCCAGACAAGCAAGAACTGGGGACAACTCTGAAGATAGACCCAGAATCCAAGTGGGGACTTGCGCGGGTTGAATTGAAAGTTGATGCATCCCTCCTACCCAATCCATACAAGAAGAAAAGGGGCCTCTACGAGCGAATTCGACAGACCTAGAAGGGCGAAAGCCAGCGGTGAACACACCAGCAGCAGCAGGACCACCAGCGAGTCATGTCCCAGGGTCTGGACCGTCCTTCAATGACAGGTATATCACAAGAAAGCGGACAATGAAACACATGTAAGAGTGACAAGCAGCGACAGATACACCACCTTACTCGTAGAAAATCTTAAAGACCGAGTTACCACGACACATAATCACCAGTAGTCGACAAGATCGGGTCCGAGGGTCGAATCGAGAGATCTCCGATGGCAGAATCAAGACCCAGCATTCCTCAGATCTGCCAATGAACGGCTCTCGATCGGATCGAATCGAATCGAATGAGAGTTTTTTTGTTTTTTTTCGTCTTTCTTCTTAAATTTCCCTCCTCAGTAATCAAGGTAGGCGGCCCCGACGGACGGAGGGACGGGGCAAGTTGACAGGAGCGGGCTCGGGGAGATCATCGGGAAGACAATCGGGGAGAAAATAAATGTCAGGAAGTAAGTAGGGTTTGGCAGATTACGGTGTAGACGGCGGATCAGGATCCACGGATTGTGGAACAAGGGGGGACACCAGAAGCCAGGGGGAAGAACAAGGCAAGCTTCTTTCGATCCGGTGTTTGGTTGGCTTCCGGTCTCTGCTTTCTTGGGGCTCTTTCTATTTCCAGCCTGGAGGTTATACGGTTTGGTGTGTGGTATGGTGGCTGCCACGCCGCTGGACTAGTATTTCTAGCTTTTGGTACAGACTACCATGCGGTGGCTGCAGATGTTCGTAACGTGACCTCGGGGATATCTTTCCATTCCACTGCGGTGGACTGTGGACTGATGACTGACTTTCCTTTTTGGGGGGTTCTGTGCTATGGTATGGATGTGCGTGTTACATCACAGCTTTCGCTGGTTTGAGGGATAGGGTTGGTGGAGCTATCTTTCATGACTTCAACTTCAGGTCTCTGTGGGCAGACTTGAACAATTCCCAAAAAAAATCCGGGATGGGATATCGATTTTCAAGTTTAATTTCTTGGTGTCTCCAGAAAGTAGCGACAAAAGCGAGCCCCCCAAAGCATTGACATTGTAAAATCTGTTGGCCAAGTCCTGTACTGTATTTTCTTCACCTAGCTCACGACTCTAATATCTGGTCTTGGTGCAGCGACATGACATCTCATTCTTTCATCGATACCGAACGCCGTCGTCCAAATGCAGCAACAAGGAACAAAAAAACAAGGCAGCGACTCTACCACCACACAATAATCACGAAAAGTAAATGCGGCCCTGGATATCACATTAGCTGAGCTTGTCTTGGGAAGGAACCACAACAAAGTGTCCCTGTTTTCTTGCAGCAGTGTCTCTATCTGACTTACCTTGTGTCTCACCGGCCCACGGCAAATCGGACAGCTCGGATTCCCCTCCAGACGAGTCGGGTCATTCCGACAGCTCGGCATATGGGTGTCTGCACACCACCGGCAGAGCACCGCGTGGCCACATGGCAACAGGACGGTGTCGACCAATTGCGTGAAACAGACTTTGCACTCCAGGTTGACGGTCAGCTCTTCCGACTCCTTCGGGTCCGGGCGGCCGTTGTTCTGGTTGTCTAGACTCTTCACCGGATGCAAAGGAGGGTTGGTACTGACTCCCTGGGGTTGACGCAGGCGTTGATTCCGGCTCAAGCTGTGGGCATATTCCTGCATAGCGCGGGCATCAGCTGGATTTGGCGGTTGCTGCATCATATGCATCAGTTGAGAACGCCGCACATCGTTTAACCGGGCCTGAGGATTGGGTGGAGGGTGCATCGTTACTGTTCCATTCACCACTCCTGTCGGTACTCTGCCGTAAGTCGTCAGTTGAGGTGTTCGTGTCGAAAGAGTTGCAACGGGCCTTGGCGAAGGCTCCCATGTTGGCCATTCATCGTGCCGTTGTTGTTGCTGTTGCTGTTGCTGTTGTTGCTGCGGCTGCGGCTGCAGTGGCCTCGCAGCTGCCGCATACTGGGGTGTCCATGTTGGTACCGTTATTGGGACAGCCGGGGATTGCATACTATTCCTGGGCAATGAGACAGATACTGGAAATGGCATGCGAGCAATGGTCTGCTGCTGTTGCAGTTGCGGGTGGCCTAGCCCATGCACGGATCCATTCGACACAACTCCTTGGGCCTGCGGCAGAGTTCTAGATCCCAAGGACGAATAGTTAGGCTGTGCGACAGGTCCCTGGTGGCTTGTTCTAGGCTCCATTGGAGTTGGGTTCGAATTGTGCAATGCCATTACGCCTCCCGCTTGAAGACCGTTCATTTGAGTACCCATGCGATACGATGGCTGAACCATAGTAGTTGTGGGAGCATAATATGTGGCTTGGGCACCGTCAAGCGCCTGGTTGAGAAATACTCTTTCCTGCTGTACTGAGAGTTGATTGTGTACCCGCCGTCGTCGTGGTGGCAAGCGAGCGCGTGCGTAGTCTAGAGGAGGCTGAAAGATCGGGGTCTCTTGAGGCATGATGCTTCCGGCCCCACTGTTGACTTCGTGACCATGGGTCTGGACATAACCAGACATTGTTGTGTCGCCATCATTCGAATCAATGGGTGGATTGTGGAAATCTCGCTGTCTATTCGGGGACGCAGAGGCCTGGGTGTTTGAATGCGAGTCCGTGGGAGAAGTGGCGTAACTGGTCCATGTGCCCATGATGTTACATGGCTCTGCGATTGAAGGGGGTGAGCTTTCCATCGTCGATCGACACTGTGCTATCGTGCTAACGCGTAGGTTATTTGTTGTTGAGGATCACAGTAAAGCAAACAACACTCGGGCTGAGTAGGTGATGGTCTAAGTCAAACGCGGTATACACACTCCAGAAGCCAGACGAGGCCCAAAAGAAGATCCAAATGAAATTGCAGATATTTGTATGTTCAAATAAGGTAGGAAGAACAGAGAGTGACAGGAAGGAGGTTGGGTCAGTAGAAGTGAGGTTCTAAGAAGAAAATGGAGACTAAGAGAAAAGCTACTTTCAGATGCCTGAATTGTTGACTTCACTGGAGAAGAATATTAACAACTTCCCTGGCCAACGTTCACGGTGGGTAGCGAGAGGGGCTCAAGCACGTTTATACGTCAAAAAGATGTAGAAGCCGAGCCGATCTCATGCCCTGGTTCGCGATGTCTAGCAGAGCTTGATATTCACTGCCGTGTTGCGGTTTCTATCAAAAATAACGACCCAGGAAACGGGAAACGGATCGGTTTAGGTCAAGATGATTATCATCATAGTGATCAGTGCAGCTCGGTCCGAAAATATGACGAAGTAGAGCAACCATCATTCACAGTTGATTGATTGCAAGTCAAGCCGGCGATGTAGCATAGGCAGTGTGAGTCGGTGGAGGCCGTCTTCACGTGATTGTTGCTCCTATTCACTACTTTGATCTTTCAACGAAGACCTACAGGTCTTGTAGCTCGATGAATATTCAAGCTCAAAGAGGCAGCACGGACACTTTTAGTGGTTCTGTTTGCCGGGTACTCGAGAAAGTACCATTCCGGGTTTCGCAGAATCGCAGAACACTCGTTTTGCCTACTAGGGCCTTTGCAATCTTCCTCTCATCGTCTCGTTTAAACGGAGACCACAGTCGGGCTCTGGAGAGAGCAAGGGTCCTCGAGGCGAGGCAGAGGCAAAAACAAGAACCACAGCGTGATCCAGCAAAACCTGGATGGATTCCGAACCCAGGTCAGGTGTTCTGGCACACAGTCAGGCTATTAACTTTGGACGATCTTGGATGCGGGCTCAGCTCAACCGGGCTTACACGGCCTCAACTGGAGAAGCACACAGCGCCGCGTCGTCTCAAAGTAGAGAGAACAACATAAGGTTGCAGCCTCTAGCCAAAGGCACTATGAGCTTGTGGGGAACGTAAAGTATAGCTAGGGATAGAGACGGTGAGAGACCGATGAGACAGCAGAGAGGCAGAGAGGCAGAGAGCAGAGGGGAGACTGATGCTTGTGAATGCGGCGGCGGCGGGTGCAAAAGGCCTAACACGCACACGATCGTAGTCGAGTACGGAGTCGAAGGGGAAGGGAGCAGACGGAAAGCAAACACGGCGATGAGTGAAGGAGGCGATGGGCTCTCGGACAAAGCAAAGGTCACGGGGAAGACGGGGAAGCGAGCCTTTCACTCACTCACTCACTGACCGTCACCGTCAGTCTGGTCGGGTCAGACCCGACCCCGCCAGAGACGAGGCAGAAGCGAAGAGCCATGCGGAGCAGCAGACCAGGAGCAGCGATTTGATCCGGTCAGTTAACTATTGGGAGCTTCGACCGTGGGAATGGGGACGATACAGCATGAGCTGCAGGAGTGATTGGTTGACTGGGGAAAGGCAAAGAGAGTCCAGCCCAGGAAACTAAGGCTTTTGAAGTCTGTTGCTGTTGGCGGCGGTTTGTCTGAGGGGTGTTGTGTTGTTTGTTGTCTATTTCAATCTCGGAAGAATCAAAAGAAAGGGAAATTCCAGGCCGGAGGAGTGCAGTAAAGAGAAAGAAGTATTCAAGATGAGACTCTGGATAAGTTCAGTCGAGTTGTTAATTATCTTCTTGCCTTTTCTGTTCCTTCCCTTTACTCTTCCTTTTTCCACCAGTTGACGTTCCCAACCACGACGTCATTCCGCCAAACCAACCAACAACAAAACACAGACACAGCTTAACTTACACTTATCTATCGCCCGAGCATAAAACAGCTCTCTCCCTTCTGTCAAACGAATACAAGTACTATTTCCATGTGTACATCAGCTACTCACTCACTCAGCTCCTCGCATCCAATCATTCCATTGGTCAAATTCAGTGAGACAAACCCGCCAACTCATCAACCAACCAACACACCCACCCCCCTGCTAGACTTCCTTCCGATCCGTTGATGACGCCCGCCCGGTGGCTGTCCGTGCACCTCCGACGAACGGTCCATCGACCAGTACCACCATTCCTCCTCTCATCAGCCAAGAGGATGTCCCTATCCAGCTTCACAGTCCCTCGCGACCTCGATCATCACGACCAGTCGTCCTGCGAAACCATCCCCGTTTCGTCGACAGCAGACCTGAGCCGCGATGCTCTGCTGCGCTTCCCCGCCTTTCGCATCTGGCTCAGCACCCTGCAGCGGTCGTTGGACCGGCAACAACAGTCCTCCCACGAGTTCTCGCGAGATCCCTACGTTCTGCGCGGGATCAAGATCCAGGCGGTCGACTATTTCGGAGGTGGGCGGTTGGGCTTCGTGAAGCTGAAGGCAGAGGTCTCGAATGGGAGCGGCGAGACACTTCCGGGGAGCGTCTTCCTACGCGGGGGCAGTGTGGGGATGCTGGTATGTTTGCTTTTCTCCTGCTATCATATGCCGCATCTTGAAATGAGGGAACTAATCCTCGATACCTCCAAAACTCATAGCTCATCCTCCAGCCCGACGACGTCCCTCCATCCAATGAAGACGAAAAACGCGTCATCTTGACCATCCAGCCTCGAATCCCGGCTGGATCTCTGGCTTTCACGGAGATTCCCGCCGGCATGTTGGATGATAGTGGATCTTTTGCGGGAGGCGCGGCGCAAGAGATCCAGGAGGAGACGGGGCTGACCATCCCGCAAGAGGAGCTGATCGATTTGACGGCTTTGGCCTTGGAGCCGGGCGCCGAAGGCGAAGAAGGGGAGTCGCTGCAGAAGGCCATGTATCCTTCGGCGGGCGGCAGTGACGAGTTCATCCCTTTGTTTCTGTGCCAGAAGCGCATGCCGCGTAAGGAGATCGATAGTCTGCAGGGTAGGCTGACCGGATTACGGCAGCACGGAGAGAAGATTACGCTGAAAGTGGTGCCATTAAAGGATCTATGGAAGGAGGGTGTGCGCGATGGGAAGACCCTTGCCGCATGGGCGCTGTACAGGGGACTCAAAGAGGAGGGGAAACTATAGGATTCTAGAACCACGGCAGCCGATGCCTCTCTCCGTGCTAAAAGGGGGGCCGTCATCGCGTTGATGCGCCCTCGAAGGCTTCGTAACGTCGGGGCGTAGACCATTCGTAATCCGAAACCTTGTTCTTACAACAACCACCTCAAAGCTTAAACCTTTTCGCAAGCTCGATCCCCTCCGCTATCGTACCCACCCGGGCATCAATAGCGTAACCCTCGCGCTCGAGCCTCTTCAGCTCCTCAAACAGCGTCGACAGGGGCACCGTGAAGCACTCGATGAACTCATTATCCTCCAGCTCCGGCTTGGGGTTCTGATTCTCAGGCAGGGACATATCCACCCGGACATGGACCATGTTCAGGTTAGTATTGCAGAACCCAGGATCTAGTTTTCAAAGAGAGAGAAATTTCAGCATCAGCCACCAGCCCCCATTACGAGAGCGCAGTCGCAATCCTCATCCCAGTGCCCGAATGAAGCCGCCCGCAGAAGAGCAAAAGCGAAGACTCACCATTGAACATGACACTGCTCGTTTGCTCCGCCACGCCCACATACCCCGTCTCCTCCTTGAGTTCCCGCACGGCGCACTCCTCCACCGTCTCACCTGCATCGATCAACCCGGCTGGAACCTCAATGACGACTTTGTCGATTGGGGGCCGGTATTGCTTCTGCAGGAGCAGCTCTGGGCCGGTCTCCTTGTTGAGGATGGTCACGATCCCAACGCCATCAATCTCACAGGTCTCCGGGCGAGTCTGGAACCACCACACCATCAGCGAGGTGCTTTTTTCTCCCCTGTCATAGTTTGACAGGGATTCTCTTTTGGGAGAGGAGCAGGAACTCACCGTTCTTTCGGAAGATTCCCAGGTGCGCTCGACGCCGTTGGGGTCGGAGTAGGTTGTTTTGACCAGTCGGGCCCATTTGGCTTCTGAGGGGTCCTAGAGGATGATGCTATTTTTAGTGGGAGAGGCTGGGCGGGCTCGATCGGGAGGAATTGAGACATGGTGAGTGTGTTTGTGTTACCGAGAACTGAGTTGTCTGGGCTTCGTTGTTGAGGAAGGGGGAGGCGGAGAGAGAGGAGGGGGGGTTGGTTTATTGATCTTACCAATGGACCTCTGGAGATGATCTTCGATTGCGCGCTCTTGGACATGGTGTCAATCAATTGATGAGAAAAATGCGATTACTGTTTGGGTATGAGGATGCAATTGAGAGTGAAACACAGCAATGACTGATCTATGTCTACCGAACGGAGATAAGTGTTGTCAGGCTGGCTGACGTCGATACAGCAGGGGCAGCTCGGCCCGGCAACTGGACTGGAAAGAGGGGCACTTGCCCATTCCGGCAGCCAGGGCTAACCCTTGTCTTATCTCTTCATCTCTTTTATACTGTAGAGTTTAGTACTTGCGAGACAAAACCATAGATGGAATCGAGGAATCGAGTTTAGAACATGTCATCGCTGATTCAAGCCTCACACTGATCTAGTCTATACCCCATCACGAGCAATGCTTACCCTTGTGCGAGAGAATTGCCTCGAACCAGCGCACCTCAAATATACTTGGACCACGCCTGAAATCGCCTTGGAGTACTACAATGAACCTTGAACCCTCGCTCAATAGCCTTGAAT